TTTTGAGAGTTTAAATAATTTTTTTGATATTATTTTTGTGATTTTGGATAAAAATGGAGTTGAAATTAGGTTTGGAGAGGTCGAAAACTCCCACCTCGACTTTCCAGTGATTTTTTGACGAAACAAAGTTGTTGGAAATTGCAGTCTTCTCACTTTTTTTCTGTCTCTAACCCACACTTGAAGGGTTTTTTTTAAAAAAAATTAATATAATTTATTTATATTAAAGATTATATTTGAAAATTTTAAAAATATATTTTAAAATATTTATGTAACTTTATTTAATTTTTTTAAATATTATTTTTTAATTTTTGTCCAGGTTCATATATTAATTATAGCTTTATTTTTTTTTATTCAATCTTACGAAAAAGTATATTTTTAAAGCATTTGTTTGAATTCTGAATTAAGTTTTCAATTTAAATTATTACAAATTTTTATTTGAGAATCAATGCACAGAGAAGAAAGAATAATATATTTTTTAAGTAGAAAATTTATATAAAACACAAGGAAGAATTATTTAAACACAAGATTTTGTTTAAAAAATTTAAAAAAAATTAGCTTTTTTTTTTTAATTTTTGATTCAATATATGTTAGTAGATCCGTAACATCATATGAATTATCAAATTAAAATAATTTTATTCTATTCTATTTTTAGTGTTGCGAGATAACTGGCCGCCTAAAAAACCGACTTTCTTGATTAATCTTAAAAGAAAAAAAACTCTCATAGAATCTATTTTCCAAACAAGCCTCATATAAATTAATAATAAACATTAAATGTTTCTATATATATCGAAATAAATCTATATTAATTAAACAAAATAATAATAACATAAATATTGCAAAAAGAAATTAAAATTATTATATTTAATTTATTACAACAAATCACGTCGCTTTTAGTACATCAAAATATCAAAACAACATGTATGAATTTCTGATTGCTTTTAGCTTGCTTGTAAAGAAGCGCGGACAACCTGCTAGTACGTCTCTTAAAAAAAAAACATTTCTCTCTCTCTCTCTCTCTCAAAAAGTATAAATACAAGGAGATTTCATTAAAATGGACAAGTGGAGACAAGTATATCTAGCATATCTATACCTATAATTCAATTAAAAACCAATCAGAATGGAATCCAAGATTTTCTTTGATTTTCTCTTTCGATTCGGATTTTATGGGATCCAAGGCATGGGCAATCAGAACACGAAGACACTTTTAAGAAAGCCACTCCTTGTTGTGTTTGCATTGTCGGTGCTCTAAGTCTCTGTAGTATGTCTCGCACACAGAGATCATGCTTAGATGGGCTATTTTGGGGAAATTCTCTCAACACTGCAAGTAATCATCGACAAGGATCATCCCATAGAACCAAAATGTCAAACTTATGAGAAAATAAAAATAATGAATTATGACAAATATTGTGAATGTTTGTTATGAAACCTTAATATTTCAAAAATAAGAGTGTTGAAAGCTTAATTTTATCCTTCATAAAAAATAGGTATATCTTGTATGTACTTGTCTTATACAAAATCAACAAGCACCCTCTTCTTTAATTTTTTTTTTTAAATAATGGTAAAGAAATTAATAATCTTCTTAGAACTTTTGATCAATATCAATATACCATGTCCAACTAAAATAATCATCAATTTTTTATTAAAAAAATAAATTACGATAAGAAAAGTCCCAAACAATCGGACACAAAAAATTACATGGATTTAAATGCAAAATCTAGATCTATAGACATAAAAAAATAATAAAACTAATATGGTAAAAGAGAAAAGTGAAGTGTGTGATTGTTTTATGGACGATTATATATATATATATATATATATTTAGGGTTTTTTGTTTAAGAGAAAGAGAAAGAGAAAAGTGAAGTGTGTCAAATTTATTAAATTTTAAATTATGTTAAAAAAATATTAAGATTATTTGAAGTATTTTTTTTTATATATAACTTTTCATATATTGCATTCAAAGTATTACTAAATCTTACATTTTGCTACAAAAAGATTGTGTATGTCAAAAAAGATCGTTTCACCGACAGATAAAATCTATGATTTAGATTCATCAAAAGGAACTATTTGTACATTCTTTGGGCAATAAAGTTTTTTAAGCCAATATTATTGGATACAATCTTGGAACTGTAAGTGATGATACTCCTATGCTAAGTTAGCTATATTAAAGAACAGTTTGATCATGAGAAAGGTAAAGAAAAATTAACTTCATCCGATTTATCTTTATTAGAAGACGAATAGAGTAAGAAAAATAGAGTGAAAATAAAAATAATTATACAACACAAAGCTACACTAAAATTTCTTATTAGAGTTTTATTAAATGACGAATATAAATACAATAGATATTATCTTTATTTATAATATAAAAAATTAGAGTTATAATAAAAAAATCTTATAAACCTATACATCTAATCTAACCTAATATTTTACGTTACGTTTTAAACTACATGTCACATTTACATAAGTTTTCACAATTTAACAATCTCATCAAAAGCTTTTCTTGATGCTATTGAAACAGGAGTGGATGTCATTTCAATATCAATTAATAATAACATCGATGCTCTTTCATTTGCCGAAGACATGATTGCCATTTCATCTCTCCATGCTGCAAGAGTTAGAATTTTGAGTTTAGTATGTGTAGACAATGATGGAGATTTGGTTTCGGTAGAGTTGCTAATTCTGAAATCATTTAGGGAAGAAGATTTATATAAAACATAAAAAAAATTATTTAAATACAAGATTTTGTTTTAAAAAATTAACTTTCTTTTTTTTTTCAATTTTTGATTCGAATATATTTTAGTAAACTCGTTATATAACATGAACGGTCAAATTAGAATGATTTTATCCTATTTTACTCATAGTGTTGCAAGATAATCGATTAAAAAACCAATATTCTTATTAATCTTAAACAAAAAAATCTCATTTAATCTATTTTTCAAACAAGCATCTTGTAAATAAATAACAAACGTTAAATGTTTTCATATGTATCAAAATAAATCTATATCAATGAAACAAAATAATAATAACATAAATATTGAAAAAAAGTTGTTATATTTAATTTATTACAACAAATCATGTCGCTTTTAATACATCAAAGTATCAAAACGACATGTACGAAATTTTAATTGTTTTCATCATCCAACGATGACTCGCCTGGAGAGAAGCGCAGACAACCGGCTAGGATATGGGTATTAGGTAAGGCTTATAACATTTTCAAATCATTACTTACGAAATTGACTCATACGCCACATTTTTGTTTTTATGCTTTTCTACTTATATATGTCCTAGGGTTAGTAGAAAACATCCTTTACTTGCACAACAACGGAAGCCAAAATCAATCCTATGTTGAGTTGCAAAGGAGCTAAAGGGACTCATCAAAAGTCAGAAGAGTGTAAATGCCGAAAGTCTTGTCGGGATTGTGTCAAAATTATTTCATGTCGCCATTGTTGAACAATAGCCACAGACACATACAAGAGAGTATATAGTTCTGGAATAGAGTATGTTTGGCACGAACGCATTAAGGTCAAGGAGGAGATTTAGTTTGCAAGATCAAAAAAATAAAAATAAAAATAGGATATTTATTTTGAAAAAAACCTCATTGTTTTTATATTAAATCGAGAAATTAAACTTTATATGAATAACTTGACAAATTCGATTCTATTGTCGTTAAATTTAAAAAATTCAAAATCCAACTGCTTTCAAATTTTAACGAACATCCAAAAACTTGATATTAAAAATATTGGCCACATAATATATAATTTTAACTAAAATACCCTAACCTAAGTTTTTTAAATAAAAAAATCTAATATGGGATCCGCACAGGTACATGACTCTATGACAACTCCACATCTCATATTGCACATTTTAAAAAAAATAGAAATAGAAGAACCTAATTTTAATTTAGACTTTTTATTTAGTAAATCTACTTTTCTTTATAAACCTGGTTTACTAAGAGTTGAGAATAATTGGATCAAATTATTTAAATATAGGGAATATAGAATCGAATTCGCTAAATTATTTATATAGAGTTTAATTTACAGATTTGACACAAACACAACGTCTCATAACGAGGGTTTTCCTAAATTTTTTTATAAAATTACCCTGAACATTTCTAAATCGATGCGATGAATTTGAATTTTGAATTTTGCCTTTATTTGGGTAAGGATAGATGTAATTTGCAATCTAAAATTTAGTTGATTTTGAGTTGGGCTAAAATCATGCTGTTTTGGACTTGGCCCAAGAATCTCAATTCATCGCAAACGCTTGTGATCCCAAGTCCACTAGGCATGCATGCATGACATATATATATATATATATACACACACACTCCAAATGCACATTTGCACCTCTAACAGCCAATATATATCATGCATTGGGATAATTCAACCAATCAATCAAATATCTCACAAAATAATTCAACAAAAGATAGATGTTTGAGTGTTTCAATTATAAATATTTTAATTAATTGTGTGTTAATAGAGGCATGCCTTAGCAGAGGATTTATGCGTTTGAGGGAAACTCCATCTTCTAGCTAATCTTTCCTTTCTTCCAAAAATACTTGCAAGTTTCCAGATATTTGTGACTGCTACTTCAAATTTCGAAAAGACACAACCACATAATCCAAAAAAAAAAAAAACCAAAAGTGAATCATATGCCCAAGCCCCAAAATATGCTAAAAACACTCTCTTGCTACGACATGGTCTGCTAAGGAAAAGCCCAAAAACAAAACTAACCTAAATGTCTTAAGTCTTCCACCACATTTGCAAAGAGAATCCTCTTAAAAGGTCAAAGGCAAAGCTGTTTTCAGACAACTTTTGAGTTAATCTCTGGTCATCAGAATAGTTGCAACTCACCCTATATATAAACTTGTTAAATCTAATAAAAAACCATACATGCAGTATTGTCAAAACAAATAACCACAGAACAAGTCTAATTACACAGAGCTTGCAATATATTTAGCATAACATTCTCGAAGATCAAAAAGGCCGAAGGAAGGACATTTCTCAATCATTTTTTGTGAGCTTTTTGATCTGAGACCGCAACTGATCGACTCGAGCGATAAGGTTGGTTACAGAATACAAGAGCCAGTAAAAGACCAACGCTGCTGCAATTAAAAGCGCGTTACGTTGGCTCTTAATGGTGGACTTTTGGTGGCGCAAAGTCTCCGATGGAGAGCAGGAATTGAGGGTCTTACAAGAGGGCATCGTTTCAATTTTCCAGTAGATGTCCATAAGCAAGAAGACGCAAAACGGTAATATTGATAAGAAGGGTTTAAGGAGGTTTTTGGTTACAGACAAAAGCCCATTGCGTAAAGGGTTTAAGCCTGGAAGGGTCAAGAGAAGGAGCATTATGGCTTCTGCACCAGCAGTATAGGCAACTACTACCCATTCTAATGCCATTGGTTAGTGTTTGGCGAGAAGGAAAATGGATGAGAGGTGATGTGGGGATTTTCTGGGAAAGCTTGGATGACGAACTTTGAAGTGGGAGTTCAAAATGAAGGAATGGAGGGGATTTATAAGGAGTTGAATTGGATTGCTTAACGCGTTTAAATGCCAGAACTGGAAGTTCACTTGAAATGTCAACGCTGCAATAACTTAATACTGAAGCAATAATGTCAATGTCAGTTCAATAGTGGGCGCATATGCTTTGGTCTAGATTTGTTCACAGGCCAAATAAACTGAAAAAAAAAAAAAAAGGAGAAAAAGATAGGGTCATCTGAAGTTGGCCTGCTGCATACGCAAGTACTGGAAAATCAGTTTTATGCTCTGAAAGAAAAGAAAATACTTAAAAAATAGGGGAAGGATACTAGGAAATAAATAAAATGCATCCAATCCCATTACATCTGTTACAGGTATGGGCATAGACTACACTCACGTTTCTCAAAACATTTATCTGGGCTGAAAATCATTTGTTGTTCTTTATGTTCTGTGCATGAGAGGATTTTTTTCTTTGTTTTAACAATGAGTGCTTATGAGTCTTTCGCATGAAGGTCAAAATACAAGTTAGAACTAAAACTGTAATTACTGACAACATGACCGAGATATCAGATTTTCCAGATCTCCACGACAGTGATGTGTTGGCCACGGTGAGAGATGCAAACCTTTCCTGAGACTGCTTTCGCCTGCGAATTCATAGTTAAAGAGGCCAATCTATAAGAGAGGGCAAGACACTGCATGCTTACTACACAAACTTTATGTTTCCTACAAATTTAATGATTTTGATAAAGAGGCACCACAAATGTTTCAATGATCAGTACAAGTATCTGAGCCCCGTGAATTATTTATTACTTGTACAGCTACTCATAAAAGGCATTGAAAGTACACACTTGATTAACAAAACGACACCTCATCTTGTTACCAGAAATTGAAGATATCAATGTGAAGTAATTCACAGAGTAAAATTGAAATGAAAAAGACATGAAGACCAATGCATTAGACTGCAACTTGCATTTCCTAACTTTATCTTTTTTAACCACCATCCTCTTCCTCCTCATTCATCAATTTTGTCCAGATTCCTTCATTGCAAATTTGCTTCTATGGGGTCTACATCTATGCCATGTAATTAAAACCAAAAAGCTAGATCTGCAAGGTGAGCAAAACTAGGGCAGACATGTATAACCAACATTCATGGCACCCTATGTAACAAAACTAACATGCTCCAGTCCACCCCCAACTTTTCTTTTTCTAAATATCCTAGTGCTACTTGACCTGCAGCAAAACATGTTCAAGTAAAATCCATTGACTGTGGGGGTAGGTGAGCGAGGAATGCATAGGAGGAAAGAGAATTGAATTGAAAAAGATAAAAAATAAAAAAAAAGCAACTTGAAATCAACAACATAGGTATAAGAGAGACATGCACAGAAAGACCATTATGCAACTGTGGCCCCAGGAAGAGTTCGAGGAGGAAAATCTGGGGCCTCTTTATCCTTCTATCTTTTTACACAAACTGGCTGATCTCAAGACTAACACCTGCAAGCTTAGGTTGCTAGCCAAGGACTTTAGAGCAACAAGTAATGCTCCAGCCCATGCCTCCTCTTTTCTTTTCAAAAGTTTTGATCACAGAGATTCAGGATATATTATATATTCTTCTCTATATCTTAGTGCATCATTATTTATCTAAATTGGCATTTTGCTTCTGTTTATGATTAAAGATTATTGTAAGTGATATCACTCCTAACCACACACAAATTCATGCAAGCAGAATAGGAAACTATTGTGAAGTCAGTAGAATATACCCCAAGAAGCCTGTAATTGAGTTCCACAGAGATGCAGTGGATTTGACCCTATGAACTGAAGTGCTGTCTTTTGGATCTCTAATGTGATCCTTGCCAGTGTTGCTTTTGAATGTACCTGAAAATGTGCAGATATGAAACACAAGAAAGGGTACCAAATCTGAATAACCTCTAACATTTCCCCACCTTCAACAACAAATTGAACTATTATAAAGCATGGGTATTGATCAGGATATGGCTATGACACAATTCCCTAAAGATATGTTAGTATATATAGATAAAATCTTTTTATAAACAAATTTATATTTGATTTGTTGTTTTAGAACACAAAATACAAGCCACTAAACAGAGCATTAATCACATTAACAACTTGTACCCAAATAATCAAAATAATCCAACCTGCTAGTGAGATTATGATTTCAGCAGCAACAATTATTACAAGCAGAGCTAAAAAATAAAAGAGAAATGAGAATGAAGGCTTTCATGGCAGTCAAACAAAAAGCCTGAATGGAGTGAACGATAATATTGTCTCGAAAGATACCTAACAATGATCTATGGACATGACACGAGTGTCAACAGATATGGAGTGTGCAAATTTGTTGAATCTCAAAAATCAAGAAGTAAGGACAAGACTACATATATTTTGATAATACATGTAAATGCAAAATCATACGTATATGTAAAATTTCTTGAAGTGTAAGCATCCATATTTTTGGCATTTTTCTTATTTACAACAAATAATTTAATTTTATTGGAAAAGGAAAAAAATTGTTAACAATGTTTTAACTGGAAGGGTAAAACTGGAAAAGTTCAACAAATGTTCTGCTGAAAAGGAGGTCCAGGAGGAGATTTCTAATAAGGGATGCTTGCAAAAGTGCTATGATTTTAAGTGGACACCACGTCTTGTCACTGCTCTGTACACATGCATGTTTATGAGACAGGAGCTCAAAGAGATTATATGGAGGACAGGAAAACCCTCCTGTTATTGCCAGCATGTTTGTCCTTCTCTTGCCAATTAGGTCTTGGTCCAAGGACATGGATATAAAGAAATGCGACAGTAGCACCCTATTTAGGCTGAGCACAGCCACATGAATGCATGTTTCAGACTGTGCCCTGATACATGTCAACCCACCTGGACATTAATTTTCCATAAGCATTCTTATTTGGCGTCTACATTTTATTTTTCTGTCTACCAAAAGTTTTGCATCCTCAAAACTAGTCATATTTATTTTTATGAAGAAAGTAAGGGATACCGCAAAATACCCCCCTTGTACCTGGGTTTATCTCCTGCATGTCCTCCATGCATACCCCATTTATCCAAAAGTAGAATTATTTTTTTTCTAATTGTCGATAACCCCACATATAAGATGACTATCTTGACATGTTCAACATGAGATTATACTAGTATGAAGGTGTTTGGAGTATCCATGCTGCAATTTGCACTTAAATAGTTCTAAATAAAAACTATAACTGACAGAAAAATTGAAGACGCTACCAGAGCTGTTGGAAGAAACTGCATGTTCCTTGCTGCAAGGCTTGAGTGAAGCCAATTCCTCGACAAGAACTCGTTCCTTGTCACTGCAATTATCGTCACATTGGCTCATACAAAAGCGTGCAAGGGAGACGAAAACAAAGAAACCATGGCATAAACTCCCAACAGAATCAAACAACCACTTCTAGCAGGCATTGCATATGTTGGAACTCCTATATGCTCTATAATATCCATAATCAATTCTTCCAACAGGATCTTCATTCAGAATCTAATCTATAGAGACACCTTTCTGAAAGAAACTTAAGATATGAAATGCTTTACGACAGAGTACAAAAACAATCATGAGTGTCCTTAATATGTCTGATTAGAAATAGAATGCTTGATATAATTTACATATATGAGTGAATCCAATTATAACCTTCAATCCAACTGTTTGATCACTGAAAATCAGATAGCTCACATCAGAATCGAAAATATTTATTCCAGCAACTTAGAGAAGACGTTCATTCCATTTTTTGATTTTGTCCAACTTGAGAAGATGGTTAACCCTAAATTTTATGCACATAAAATACAGCTTTCAGTTTGAACAGATAACATACAGTTTGTTGAATAATGAATCCGAACAGAACTGAAATTTCAACTTCAAGGTAGCAATTATCTAATAATTCATCCAAAAAATATGATCATTATCTTTTAATTTGAAGTGACAGTATAGAATTAATTCAAGCAAAAAATATGAACACTATCTTTTAATTTTAAGTGATAGCATATAATTCAAAAGGAAATCAATTCATAAAACATCAAAGAATGTACACATCAGGGGTAATTTCAATTCCTCCAACAAAGTAATGGATATAGACATAGAGTGGTAGCCCCTTGATCATTAAAAAAATAAAAAAGGCATTCAGTTATGGGCTCCCATGCGGACTGGTGAATACCAACAAATCTATTTATCGTAATGATCAGGACACTATTCATTATTCAATTGCTGAGAAGTCCTATTGTTTAAACAATCGTAATTTGCAATGCCTACTAAATTAAACAGGGAGTGTGCAACACAACAAATGCCTATGCCAAATAATAAACTCTTGTTTAAAGTAGAAAGGGGAATCAGACCTGATATCTTTTGGGATCAGAATGTTCACAATAAAGTGATGATCACCTCGAACAGAAGGTTTATTGATGTCTGGAACTCCCATACGTGACAATTTTACTGCATCTCCAGGCTGAATCCCAGAAGGAATTTGAAGATCTTTCAAACCCTCCACAGTCTCAACCTGAAGTTATTTTAGATTTTTATGTTAAACAACTTACTTCAAGGCATCCAAAAGCCATTTCTATGGTTGCCTGAAAAAATCTACAAAAACTCACACATAACGACCCCATTCCACTTTTGAATGATGAAGAAAGACAGGGAAAAAAAAAAGAAAAAAAGAGGAAGAGAAGAGAAAAACACATGACCATACCAAGGCCCTTGAGAGGTGTTCGAGAACTGAACCATGAAAAAGAAACGCATTTTGGTTGATACCAAAAATCCATGTTGTTTGGTTAACATCTACTAAGTCAAACAATATGATATAGAGTTACTTTTACAGCAAAAAACTATGCCCAGCAATTCAGTTTTGAGAAGTAATCAGATTGCACTAAAAGTATCATTACTACAAGAACAGGCAGTATGTTGAAGATTGCTCTATCGTACAATTATTTCATGCTATAAAATTGCATTTTGTAAGTTCCAAATGCGATTGTGGTAGACTGACAATTCAATATCAGCAAGACAATTGTTATTTTTGGATTATAATTTAACTATTGTTTCAAATGGCATAAAGTGGTCATTCACCAAAAAAAAAAAAAAAAAAGAAGAAAGAAAGAAAAAAAGAAGAGAGAGAGAGAGAGAGATGACAAGGGATAGTATGTTTCATAAATTCATGACAATGGCCGTTTATACCATGGGTAGCTTAAATGTCAGACTTCTTCTTTAGGTCCAAAGGAAAGTTTTAATACCTAAAGTACAAAAAAATCACTATAGCATAGACATTGGCATCAAAATTGCTGGCCTCTGTTTCAGGGATGCAGGGATTGAGAGATTAGAAGATTAGAAGATGTCATGGGTCAAGATCTGAGAGTCATACTTAACCTAAAAACTGTAGTTAAGGAGAAGTGATAGGCAATAGCTCTCAAGAAGAAAATGCTGCTGCACAATGTGAATACGAAGCTAACCCTACCTTTAAGCCAAAAGCTTGTTGGAGAAGCCATTAAAAAACTCAAAATTTTACACTGGGTCCCCTCAAAAAACACATTTTCCTTTCCAAAACTTCCCACAAGACGATTCCTCATAAAAAAGCATGAAGAAGCCAAAATAACCACACTCTAATCTAATCTAGGCCCAACTGAATCTGAAATTATAAATGATGAAATAGCCTTGAATCAGTGGCATAATTTCTCCATAAGATTCTGGCTCTGAAGAAAATTGAACTAGGAACATTGCTGTTCAACTGGAAACAAAAGATTCGAGCAAGGAGAGTGAAAGAACAAGTGAAGTAATAATAGCCATCGTCAGAGTTTAAGGAACATGTGATATACTGGTATAGTGTGAATACTAATTTCTGAAACAGTGATTTGAAAAGAAACAAGAAACTGTGAAGCTATAGTTTAACAACCTAAAAAGAAATGTGAAGAAATGCTTCCAACAAGGAGGAGTAAATTTGCAGATATATATAATTTTTTTTTATAACACAAGAAACTATAATTTACCTTTAAGACGGTCCCCAGTATTGCCTGAGTATAATCAACATTGACCTTTGAATAAAGATTGAGACCATTTCTCCAAATTCCTTGTTTTTCGTTGACATGGAGGCTTATAAACAGATCACCAGCAAGGCCCCTATCAAAAGAAAAACAAAGGAATGTGACCAGTTTTAGATTTTCTTCTTGCAAGACTTAGTTTTGCCTTGCTATCTAGTAATATTTAATCACAATATAAAATGAATAAACAGTCCATAATTACCACAATATAAGTGGAGAAAAATCAATAGAAACAAAAGTTTAATAAGGTGCATGCCAAATATTAAAAAAAGATCCCTTCTCCCTTTTGGCATAAAGAACTCAGCGACCTCAGCAAATACATTATATGTAAACGAATACTATATGGTGCATACCCCAGTGTTAACCTTATCCATTACACATCAATTGGTGCACAATACACACACACACACACACACACACACACATATAGATACATACATACATACATATACATACATACATATATATGTGTGTGTGTGTGTGTGTGTGTGTGTGTGTGTGTGTGTGTGTGTGTATGTATGTATAAACCATTCAAATCGATCTAAATATAGGGGTTGCAAATTTTTTGTGATTCTAGGTTGCAATGGGAAGGGTTGGGCTTGGATGTATAGGGTTTAGGAATATGGAAAGGAGGAAATATAGAGAAATAACATATTTATACCAATAAGGGTGGCTGGAAACTGTTGTTCAGTCCTTAATTCTATACAGCTTGGCAGTGACACCATTATAGCTTCCTCTATGTGGAAATCATTAGCTCCCCCAAAAGGTCGAAGCTTTCTTGTGGCTGGCAGTTCATGGAAGGTTGCACACTGAAGACTTCCTCTATCGCATTGGTTTCATGGATGAGAATGACAGCCTATATCCGTTATGCTAATTGAAGGTAGAAACTAAATCTCATTTACTTCTTCATTGTTATCAGACTTGGAATTTGTGGTCTAAAGTTATGTGCTGGTGGTGTTGTTTATGGGCAATACTTAGCAACGTAGATGATCTTTTCCTACAATGGGATTTCTTTTCTTCTGGAAAATTGCAGAAGAAAATATGGTACTTAGTTTTATTCTCTTTTTTTTGGACCGTATGGCTAGCAAAGAATAATATGGTTTTTAACAATTTGAATCCAGATTGGGAGTCTTTGTTCTCACTTTCCTTTCACAGAGTTTCTTATTGGCCAAAGACTATTGATGACAATTTCCTATACACAACGAATGATCTACTTCGTAGCTCGAATGCTATTCATAATTGGTCCAACAAAATTCGAAATCAGGTGATTGTAGAGTGGATTAAGCCAGGTGCTGGATTTCTGAAATGAAATGTAGATGACTTGTCAATGGAAAAACCGGGTGCTTCAGGTATTGTTTGTGCTTTTAGAGATCACAAGGGATGTTTCTTATGCATTTTTTCAGGTCCAACTGATATGAGAGTCTCCAGTAAAGCAAAAGTTCTTGCAATCAAAAGGGCTCTAGAGTTTAGTGTTTCTCATCCCTTTGCACAACAAATTCATTGGATTGTTGAATCAGATTCTTCAAATGCTATTAGTTGGATTCACAAGAGTTCATATGACAGTTCTTGGAAGTTAGATTGTGATTTCAAATAGTATTGCTTCCTCTGTTAATAAGTTGAGATCTGTTTGTCTTGTCAGAGTGAATAGAGCAATGAATGTTATAGCTGATAGCCTAGCTAAGGATAGTATTAGTAGCCGAGAAGCATTTCTTGCCTGGTTCTAATCTTTGTATCTTTGTTTTTATTTTTTATTTTTTTGCCACTTTCTTACTAGCTTGGAGAAGCAAGAAACAGATTGTTGTTGCAAGGAGTAGTGCAAGGCAGAATACAGGGCAATCACTCAAGATGTTTGTGAACTAATCTGGTTAGAAAGATTACTACAAGATTTGAACCTTCCACTACAAGAACTAATGAAGTTGTACAGTGATAGCAAGTCAGCCATCAGTATTGTTCATAATCCGGTCCAACACGACAGGATGAAGCATGTGAGGATAGATCGGCATTTCATGAAGTCAAAGATCGAAAATGGAACATTCACCCTGCACTATGTGCCTACAAAGTCACAAGAGGCTGACATTCTCAAGAAGGCATTACTTAAGTCGGGATTTGAATCAAATGTAAGCAAGCTAGGAATGATCGATATCTATTCACTAGCTTGAGGGAGAGTGTTGGGAAGTTTGTTAAATCCTGAAATTAAGGGATTCTTTTGTTAGTCAACTTTCTTTTGTATACTTCAGGTAGTTTCCTAGTTTAGTGGATTCTTTGCTATTTGTTTCCTAGAATAGTGCTTTCTATTTTTGTTTTAGGGTTATATAATATAATGATTAGTGACAAATAAAATTAATTCAATGGAATTATTCAAGCAACCACAATTTTCAATCTTTGATGCTCTTGATATCAGGATAGCAGAATGGTCCCTTGCACTGCAATCCCAAACACACTAGTTTAGTAGCCAACATTTAAGTTTTTGGAACATGCAGTGATTTACATTACACTTGTTTAGCATTTCCTGACTCTTTGCATCCACTGATCAATCTCTTTAGAGCAGCTGAAAGAGCACCAAATAAGACATAATGCAGCCTCTTAAGAGCAACGTAAGGGCACCAAAAGGGGCACATACAAGCTTTTACCTAACCACATGTACTGATGATACTAGTAAAAATTTCAATGGACACAATAACTTTATTCAATCATACCTTCTCTTGTCAAAACTACCCTCCCCTTGAATTCGCATTGTAGCTCCATCGTTGACACCAGCTGGGATGACCACTTTCATGCTTCGCTTTGACCTTCTTTTACCATTTCCGCCACATTTTCTGCAGTGGTCAGTAATCACCTTGCCTTCACCAGAGCATTTTGGGCAAGTAGAAACCTGAAAATCAAATGAGTCATACCTGAAAATGTATAGTATTATCTAAACAGCACTATCAAATAATTGGAGGAGAAATGAAAAGGAATAACCAAGACAATGTAGTTTAAGCAACAAATTTTTAATAAATCCTACCCATCTCTATAATTCATGGTATTTTTCAGATAAGGAAAGAGCCAAATACATTTAACTTTTTCAGAAGTTTAGAAACATGTCGCCTTGAGAACGTCAACACAATTGTTTATAAATTTAAAGGCATGAAAACTAGAAAGTCAAATGATGAACATGACTTATTCCCAGAGTAAAACTAGACAGGTAACCTTAATCTCCTTCTCTGAATTATTTCAATGAAGCAAGGCCTCAGAGATAAAAAATAAGGACATATATTGGTAGATCTTACAACTGCAGAGTTCTAGTGTCTACAAGATGAAACTTGGCTTGGAGACAAATAGGTTAACGAGTAACACTTTGTAATTGCTTTACAACAAAACAGCACTTCACTGAAGTCAGTAGCTGTTATAAATTTCATGCCCAAACTCCCTAAAATATCTGGAGAGAAAAAAAATCTGAAAAGATACAATCACTAAGCATCTTCACCCCCCCCTCCTTCCTTTGTTTTATAAAAAAAAAATGTTGTCAAATAACATGTCAATTACCTGAGACATCATTCCAAATGGTGTTCTTTGAGTTTTCATCACCCCTCCTCTACCTCCACAATCAGCACATGGTTTTATGCAACTACTAGATTTAGCACCAGTTCCACTGCAGCTATTGCAGGTCTCAAAAAAGAAACTTCAATTTCTCGTTGTCCTCCAAAAACTGATTCTTCCAAGCTCAAATACAGGTCATACCTTCAATATAAGACGTTACAAATCATAAAAAAAGATGATTTCTGGCCAAAAAAAGGGGTACGAAAGAGGGAAAAGATCTCATACTTGCAAACAAAGTCAATGTAATGGAGAAGTTCATAAATATGCAAAATGGTTTCTCAAAATTTATTACCATGAATTACCTAGTGTATGCTTCTTAAACATGGTCCTTAAGTCATTTACTTTATGTTGTTTTCCTCCTCTCATTGGCATATGGTAGATAGACTTGAACTAAAATTCCTTATTCCTACAAGTAAAATGTTATACGTTCAAGGGGCACCATAAAAGTACATGAATGGGTGTGCAAAAGAATCTCCAGGATAGCAAAGCCTCAATTAAAAGAAAACTTGAGAATTAGAGTGGGGAAAAGGAAATCAGAAAATATGCTCAAAGTCTAGCACCTACCAAAAGTCAGAGAGAAAAGCAGGCTGAAGAATTTATCCAGCTAAATAATGATAATAAACCATTCTTTATGCCTGTAGAATGGGAACTGATAGAATCTCCAATCAGTCACCCATACATAGATTACATAAGATAAATCCACATTGCTCTACCTTTTCAATTACCAAACTTTTCTTTCCAGTTTGCAAAAAATCTTTGCAACAGTTTTATTCTTCTTAGCATTCCTGACCATGAATTCCTATACTTCTTGGGATTTCTGACCATAATTTTATACATCAGAATCTAAGTCAAAGGCCACAAATCATGCACCAGATAGCAAAACCACCAGAGAACAAGTCGATGTTCTTTCACCCTCTCATATCCTGAAGCTCAATAAGCTCAAAGACATCACAGTTAAAATCTTCTTCCCACCCAGAAAATTCTTTTCATGGATATTTGATCAAATATTTTGTTAACTCAAAGTTCATTAACAAGATAGCGAATCATAAACTTCACTCATATTCAGAACAAAACTAATGCTTCATCTTTTTTCTGCACACAAAAAGCATCTGAGTAACAAGGATAAAAGTTACAGTTTCGGTACATTAAGTAGGAAAAGTTGAAGAATGAAGGATCAATACCGAATGTCAAGATCCTGACTTCCCATATTTCTGAAATTGAAGTTAAGGCCACCATCTTCACCCCTTCCTCCAAAAAATCCATCTGAACCGCCAAAGAATGCATTGTATACATCAAAAGGATCCACCTGAAAATGATGAAATTGACAAGATTACAAAAAAGTAGCTAGCCAGTCAAAAGGATCCAGCTCACTTGCAAGCGCTCCCCCTAGCGTTAAAGTCGTGATCTTACCCCTCGCGAACCACTGCCTGCGCCATCAAATTCTCCTTGCAAAGCTGCCTCACCAAAGCGATCATATAGAGACCTTTTCTCATCATCTGATAGGACCTACATAAATTCTTCATTAACACCATGAAGGTGAAATGCAAATCAATGCTCCACTCTAAAACGGCATGTTAGTTAGGCTACTACAGGGTGGGACCCACATAGCATACATTGAGTATCCAATAATCAAGTTTAGTTAGTTACCTCATAAGCAGCACTTATTTCTTTGAACTTGTCTTCAGCTCCAGCTCCCTTGTTCATGTCTGGATGATACTGTACTTACATAAAACAAAGACAAGAGTAGAATAAAAAAACTCCTTGACGTTTCAAGAAAATACCCAAGCATATCAAAATCAAATTCAAAGGAATTCTTTATCAAATCGTTAAAAAAAAAGAAAAAAGAAAAAGAACCTTTCGAGCGAGCTTTCTGTAGGAGCTTTTGATTTCCTGTAATGTGGCATTTCTACTGACATTCAAAGTGGAGTAATAATCAGCTCTAGCAGAAGAAACTGCTGCTGCCGCCCTTACAGAACCAGTGTTGAAAAAACGATGGCGCTTCGGTGTGGTGAAATTGGGACTAAGATTGTTGTTTTTCAAGAAATGACGAGGAGTTGTGGAAAACAAGTTGAAAGAAAAGGAATTAGCAGTAACGGGTCTAATTCTGGAGTTCGAAATGGGGTTTAGATTGAGCCAATAGCAGCAGGGAGCTTGGACCATTACGGGCATGGTAGTGGTACTAGCAGGCAAGAAAAGAATTTAGGGCATAATCATTATTACATGAGATACGATGATGTTGGAACAGAGGTTCTAGGAGGGTTTCTGGAGATTTTGGTTGGTCTCTCCCGGTACAGTTATTCAGTCATAGTTGCAAAATGAATTTATAGGAGGACCAGTTTGGATTTTTGGACTTAAAATTTATGTGGGCTTTTGAGCGGCTCAAAAACACCGGGTTTCATTCTTTCCTGGTTCTACCGGCGGTTAGGTTAGAGGTGACTTGAAGGGCTCAGGTAGATTGTTAAAATAGAAAAAGAAGAAAAAGGCGTTAACTAGAGAAAACACTAGCAAATTATTGTGCCATACTACAGGTCGAGAAGAATAAAATTATTTTAAAATTTTATAATTATAATTATAATTTTTTATTTAATTAAATTTTTATATTTTTTTATAAATTTTTTATTTTAAAAAACATGATTTATTCTTCTTTATGCAGAGATTCTAAAATAAAACATATAATAATTTAAAATAAAATATTGATTAAGAATTAAAAATATATATTTTCATAAAATATAATTAAAAAATAAATTTATAATTAATGTATATACTTATATAAAAATCAACTAATAAAAAATAAAATTTTCTCTTGTTTAATGCTCATAAGATTATTATTTTTGAAAGTATATGCATTTAATCTATATTTATTTATTTAAAAAATAATCAACGATATTAGCATAACAAAATACATTTGAATAATTATGTGATTTTTTTAAAAAAATATTTATAGCAAATAGTTGGTGTTATGTGTAAATATATATAATTAATTTTTAATAAAACTAACAATTCAATAGTTTTTTTTTATATATTTCAATCATACTTAGTGGACTAAGATAAATTATATAGAATACACTTTTAATATTTTAGATTAAAATAATTATATATTTATATATGAGAAAATATCATTTAAAAATTTTAAGAATATATGGTAAAAGAGAAAAAAATTTGATTTAAAAATTTATTCTAAAATTCATGTATGAAAAAATAAATCATACTTATCAATAAATAAAATTTTATCAAAAGATATTAATAGGATAAAGATTTTCATAAAAAAAAACGATCAATTCAAAGAATAATTTTTTATACAATAAGAGTAATATATGTTATTTTTAAAATATAAAAATAAAATTATATATATATCTTCGGTCACACTGCATGAAAAACACAAATAATAATATTCAATATTTCATAAATTTTGCTTAAAAATTCTTAATTAAAAAAAGAAAAGAAAAAGAAAGAAAGGTCTTGAGACTAGGCCCGCACACCTAAGCCCAATGCACCAGGTCCGAGTGACTAGGCTTCGAGCACCAGCCTAGCGCCCTTGGGCCTAGAGCAGTAGGGTCGCGTTGGCCTGGGTAGTTCTTCTTCATTTGGTGACCTTTGCTATTTTCAGTGATCAATTTTGTCCAAAAAAATAACCGAAAAGTCGAGTTTTATTATTTTAAGCCTCTCAAGATCAATTCCAGCTTCGATACACCTCAAAATCATAGAAATAATCTAAAAAAACTCATTTAAAACCTTAAATTCCATTTTAATTCACACAAAAAATCAAATCAAAATAAAAAAATTCAAAATATTTCGAGTTCCCAATCTACCTCCTCCTATCATTTTAAGACTTGCCACCACTACAAACGAATTCTATCGTTGAGGTGGCCAAATGTGCCTCGTTGGTCGTCTGTCTTTTCTTTATTCTCTCTCTTCTTACGATGCAAGAATCAAAACGAATGATAAATGAAGTTTTGGACCAAAAAATATTGTTTAAAATAAAAGGATCAGAGTGGATATTTTAGGTACAAATAGTAAATGAATAGTGAATTTAAAGAGAGTGAGCAGTAAATAAATAGTAAAAAAAGAGAGAATGGATAATATTTTTAGGTTTTGTTTTAGTATATTGCTTAATATGTTTTTCTTATTATTATGTAAAGTTTGAATATTAAGAGAGGGTTCAAAAAATTCTCGTGCACTCTGATTTTCATCAACCAATATATTGCCTCTGGCTTAACAAATGCCACAGACCGAGAAGCTTTCCTTGCCATCAAGGATTTGATATCAAGGGATCCTTTTGAAGCTTTATATATATATATCACGTATTAAGAGGGTTATTAATTGTTATATTATATTATTATTTTCTGCTTCTTTTTTTTGAAAATATATTTGGAATTTTTTTATAAAATAGGCTATTTTAAAAAAAATATATCAATTAAAGTTTTTACTATACAAATATTTTAGGACAGATAAAAATAAAATAATAAACAATATTTTTTAAATGAAAATTTATATTAGAGAAGAAGAGCATAAAAATAAAGGTCGGAGAATAAGATTTCATACTAGAGGAATTTTTTTTTTATCATTTTATTCGCATTCTAGCTTCTTACTTTGGGTACTGATTGAATTAGTGTCTTAGGATTTTACCTTGATATTCATATATCTTTACAAAACATGAATAGAATTTGAAATTTTACCTATAAAACGGACACATTTCGTGGCTTAGTTGGAGAAGGTAAATGCCAGAGAAGCTAATTCAATGGGAATTTAGATAGAAATGTGGTGGTGTGTAAGAGCCTACACGAAGATGCTTTTCTTCTTGACTTTGGAGAGAAAATTAAATAAAGTACCTATATATAAAAGAAGAAGAAGATATATATATATATATATATATATAGAGAGAGAGAGAGAGAGAGAAGGATGGTCTCCTCTGAGCATAAACTTTTTTTTTTTTTTCACTTATTATTAATTCAAGAAAGAGGAAAAAAGGATTTTGAAAATAAACACTTTGTACAGGACTCTCATTCTCTTTACATGTACGCAAATATAAAATTGTGAAAAACATTCAGGTTTTTGTCACTTTGTTTGGACGTCCTATGTTTAACTAAAAAATAATAAAAAAAAATTTCCTTTTTTTATATAATTAGATAAATTAGCTATGGATATCTAAATTAGTCCCGCAATTTGATTTGAAAATATAGAACTCCAAATTTGGTCACATAATAATAATATTTTAATGATCCAAAAGAAATTATCAAGAATGTTAAAATAAACCGAATACTTTGTGAGTATATCGACAAATTCATGTGAATATAATGCAATTCAAATCTTACCTTACCCTATCCATATTTTTATTTATTTATTTTATTAAATTTTTCAAAGAGTAATTTTTTTTTCTTTTGGCTTTATAAAAATCAAGTTGGCAATTAAAAAAGAGAGAGTAGATTATTAATTATTCCTTTTTTTAAAAAAATTATTTAATTCTTTTACTTTAAACTTTTCTTGTAATTTAACCATTTTCATTTTTGTTCAATTTATTTGGATTTTTTTTTATAAAATAGAGAAAGGAAAAAAATGAAAAAAAATGAAAAAGATTGATGAGAAAAGATAATATTTTTTGAAATAAAAATACTAATAAATTAATCATGATCAGCACTAATAAAAATAATTAAATAATTAATTTTTAAAACAAAAGGGATTAATCAATTTATTTCTTAAAACTAGAGGTACTAATATATAATTTACTCTAAAATCCTAAGACAGGAAAATTTAGCCTATAAAAGCAGTAATCTTTCAGGCATCCGCTGCTTTAGAATAAATCTCTCTCTCTCTCTCTCTCTCTCTCTCTTCCCCACCAATATATTGAAGCACCAAGCTCTACTTTCTCCAACTTAAAGTTAGCATCTAATTCTTATTTCCAGGGCACTGAAACTGAAGAAAGATCGATGATGATGACGAAGAAGATGGTGTTGGCACCAAGACGAAATTCAGCAGCAGCCCCTTTTATTGGTATTGGGTTCCATTTTCAACTAATGGGTATGATTCTATTTTCTAGCAACCACTACAACTCTATTTCCACTTCTTTTTCTGTTTCTTCTTCTACAACTACCTCTATAGATAATCACAAAAATGCTTCTTTTAGTAACATTTATGATGCCCTTTCTTCCTTCCATCACATGCTTCGTAGGAGTCCTCGGCCTTCTATCTTCGAATTCAGTAAATCATTGTCTTCTTTTGTTAGAATGGGACATTATGAGACTGTGGTTTCTCTCTCTAAACAAATGGAATTAGTTGGATTCTGTCATGATTTTGTTACTTTTAACATCTTGATTAAATGCTTCTGTCACTTACATCGTGTTGATTATGGCCTCTCTGTCTTGGCGAAAATCATCAAACTTGGTTTTCAACCCAGTATTGTCACATTTAACGTTTTAATCAATGGGCTGGGTAAAGTGGGTAAATTTGGTCAAGCTGTGGAATTCTTTGATGAGATGCTGGCACGAGGGTATAAACCTGATGTCCAAACTTATAATATTATTATCCATTGTTTATGTAAGGTTGGGGAAACCACTGTGGCTACTGGGTTGCTTATGGAAATGGAAGAGGCATGTTGCGAGCCAAATGTTGTGACATACAATACTCTCATCAATGGTTTATGTATGACTGGGGAAACAACTGTGGCTTCCGGACTGCTTAAGAAAATGGAAGAGGCAGGTTGCGAGCCAAATGTTGTGACATACAATACTCTCATCAATGGTTTATGTATGACTGGGGAAACCACTGTGGCTGCTGGACTGCTTAAGAAAATGGAAGAGGCAGGTTGCGAGCCAGATGTCGTGACATACAATACCATTATCAATGGTTTATGTAAGACTGGGGAAACCACTGCAGCTATTGCATTGCTTAAGCAAATGAAAGAGGCAGGTTGCGAGCCAGATGTTTTTACATACAGTACTATTATCAACTCTTTATTTAAGATTGGGAAAACCACTATGGGCGCTTTATTGCTTAAAAAAATGGACGAGGCTGGTTGCAAGCTTAATGTGGTGACATACAACACGTTGATTGATGTTATTTGTAAAGAAGGCAAGTTATCAGAGGCTGTAGGTATTTTAAAAACTATGGCTGCATTGAGTGTGGAGCCTGATGTTTTTACTTACAGTTCTTTGATGCATGGATACTGCTTGCGAGGAAAAGTTGTCGAAGCTAGAGAGTTATTCGATACGATGATAAGCAAGGGTTGTATACCTAATGTTTTTAGTTACAGCATCTTAATCAATGGATATTGTAAGGCCGAAAGGTTCGATCAGGCCAAACAACTTTTTTATGAAATGACTTATCAAGGCCTCATTCCAAACACTGTCAGTTACACCACTTTGATTAGTGGCATGTGCCAAGCAGGGAGACTTCGAGAAGCACAAAAGCTTTTCAAGAATATGCATGCTAGTGGCAACCTCCCAAATTTATTTACTTACTCAATTGTGCTTGATGGCTTCTGCAAGCGAGGGTTTCTTGATGATGCATTGAGACTGTTTCGGGAAATGCAAAATAGTTATCTGAAGCCTAATCTGGTGATCTATCATATCCTGATTCCTGCCATGTGCAACTCTGGAAAACTTAAAGAAGCAAGGGAACTGTTTTCAGAACTCCTTGTCGAAGGGTTGCAGCCTGATGCTCGGCTATATACTACACTAATAAATGGACTTTGCAAGGAAGGATTGTTGGATGAAGCATACAAAGCTTTCCGAAACATGGAAAATGATGGCTGCCCACCAAATGAATATTCTTATAATGTTATTATCCGAGGATTTCTCGACAACAAAAATGATCCAGGGGCACTACAACTTATTCATGAAATGAGAGACAGAGGTTTTGTTGCAGATGTGGGCAACTTAGTCTTGGTGGGTGATCTGTTATCTAATGAAGGCTATGCTATTCTGAAGGAGTAATTAAGGTGATGTAAAGTTTGTCGAGTTGAAAAGTTAATATAGAATTAGATAGTTGAGATTGGGCTCCATCCAAAAGACTTAAGCCTTTTGGTGGGTGGCTCTTCTCAACTTTATATATTATTCATTATTAGTTTAACTATTTAATATGGGATATGTGTTCTAACACTCCCTCTCACTTGCAGTCTATCTTTTTGGGGTCCGTCAAGTGGCTTGGGCTCCGGAATCTTTACTCGGGTCGTTTCCTAATTCATGTGGCAAATATTAAGTCGCCTTTTTTCACCTTGTAAGTTACCCTTAGTTCCATCTTGTCAAAATTTGGACAACAACACAAATTACTTACCCTTTTTCTTTTTCCCCGCCAATCATAATAGTCATTAACTAAGTGTTTTGGACTAGCATCCACCTCATACATGCACGGCAATGATTGTCCCTAGATATTTCTTATAATTCACTTAATATTTTCCTACATTTTATCTCGTCATCCTTTTGTCTTGAAACACCTTGTAATGTGGGACTCGTTAAAAACTTACCTGAGTTACTTGTGATTGAGTTTATGTCTGCTGAAGGTTTTGCTAAACAACAAATAATTCCCTTTTGTCCCTTGTTTGTCAATGTTACCGCTGTAGTAATCCAAACCCAAATTATTCAAGGGATAGACTATAACAATGTGCATCATGTGTGGGTTTGACAATTTTGATTTTTGGTTTTCTTACATGAAGCCAGTTGTTGCATTTGGCTACCCACTTTGTTGTATAGAGTTGTGCATTTCTCAGCTAATCTATTTGAATTTTCATTTTGGAAATATTTCCACTAGATGCTGCTGGACTCTTGGCGTCAACCATGCAGGTAGATTTTCCTGGCTTGGTTTTGTTTGACGCCATTAAAGTCAAGGACAACTTTGTCATATGCTGCTATGAACACTGGTTGTGCTTCTTCCTGTAATGGCTGGAGCTTTTTTAAATCAGTATTTCCAGAGCCTGGTTAAAATTGTATCTCCCTTGATGCCACCAATTGTTGTGGGAACTGTTGCTGTTTTATGTGGATATGCAATTGCCCAAAGTTCTTCAGCAATCCTTATGTTTGGTTGACAAGTTGTGCTTGCTTCATCTATTCTTCATGCTTCTGGTTTTTTCTTTGGATATTTGCTTTTAAGGATGCTTGGGCTTGATGTGGTGTCGTCACGGATTCTCTCCATTGAGGTTGGCATGCAGGTAGACCGTTACTTTAGCTGGACTATATTAAAAAAATCTATTCTTGAGGGGGAATGGGCAAGTTTTCAACTTCGGTGAGACCAAAGCTATTGGCCCTCTTGTGTCCATCACAGGGTGATCTGAATGATGCTCCACATTTAGAAGTTGATTCCTACTATGCATTCCCATTTCTCATAAAGAAGTGATTCGAGTTTCCTGTTCTATGCTCGATATTGTTCTTGCTGCACAGCATTTTGGGAACCCGCTAACTGCAGTGCCATGTACCATTTCTAGTGTCTGCCACTCAATCTTTGGTAGTTTCTTGGCTGGAATTTGGAAATGCAGTTTGCCTGCCCAGAATGAGGACTGACATGTCATCTAGATAGTGATATGCCGTCATTTCATTGTTGATATCAGAAATTTGGAATGCCTTAATTTTCAGTAAAATTATGATAGACCAAAAATTCAGATTTATTCTGTGTTCAAATGCTGGACCTTGCACTATACTTCTTGTGCTTCCTTCCTTATATATAATTATAATTTGGCATGTTGTAATGCGTTTAGGTTTTATAATTTCAGAATGCTAGGCACCGGAAGTTCTTATTCATTGACCTGATTTTGCAAGACTGATATAATTATGAAGAGGACACTGCTCATAGAGCAGCAAGATATTCTGAAAGGGTAGGGTAGGCTAGGATGAACAAATTTGTGGCCTTTTAAAGCAAACACAAGTTGGTGTTCAAAGTGTTGGGGTTTGAGGTGATCGAGAGCCTAAATAACAAAAATTGATGCTGTGACTAGTCGTAGCATCAAGAAAACAAGTAAAGGAATGTAAAATCAATAGATTGTATTATTGCTTACTTTCTTGTCAAATAATTTCCGTGCTAGTATAAGAAAAATCTACAGACAATCGTAATTGCTGGTGGTGAGCGGTAGTCCAATTTTTGCAACATCTTTAATTAGCAGGAGAAAGCAGTAGCTGTACTTAGTAGCAGTTGGTGTTGATCCTTCTAACCCATTCTTGGCATCTTTTCCTTCATCTTCACTCTTCCGTCCTTTCACGCCCTTTCCGTCTTTGCCTCATCCTTTAATATCAGAGGGTTTTCCAGGTTTTGGACCCTCAATTACAACAATGTAAGATTTATTTTCAGCATCTTTCTTACCCCTTCTCTTTTCAATTTTGGCACCTCTTGAGGTGAACCTCCACAATGGCTTTCCAGTAATTTTTGTCTGCCTCTTCATGAAACTTCTCTTATTGGTAGGCCAAGCACCACTGCAGAACATATTCTTTCTTCACCTTCATAATGAAGCTGGAAGGAATGTGGAAAATATGAGCGCATGCATGCGCTAGCTTCAAAAGAGAGGTAGGATACAAGTCAAATCAGGTATTGATACTGTCAATTTGTTTCCTACAAGTTTAAAATGTCATTTAAAGGTTTCTGGGAAAGAGCCATTCATCAGTTGGTTATCAGAGAGCTAGGTCCAACTCTTTCATGGAAAAGAATCTTGTAATATCAGGCAATGAACGTTCCATTAAGTTGATTGCTGTATAAATTCAACACCTCTGTGCAAGTTTTGAAACAAAGATCAAGTGTTTGTAAATGGCACATATTTTTGAAAAATCTTGGAATGCTTTGTAAATGGTAAATGGAAAAAAGATCAAGACGCTCGAGAAAAAAACATGTTTGTAAATGCATTTGATCTTGAATCCGATCACTAGCCTTGCCGAGTTCACTCTTAAGCAAGTAAGAAATACGAGACAACCAATCAAGGCTTTTAAATTAAATGTTGATAAAAAATCTTAATAGCAAAAATACCAATTAAAGGATATTTTTAAAAAATATCAATAATGGAAAGATTGATGTTAAAAAAGATGATTTTTTTTTTTTAAATAAAGTTATATTAAATTAGGTTAGGTGAACACTGTTAAAAATATTAAATAATTAATTTTTAAAGTGAAGGTGACTAATTAATTTTTTATAAAACATTTAGGGACTAATATATAATTTACTCTAAAATCAAAGGACAGAGAAAATTTAGGGTTAGCGTATAAAAGTTCTAATCTTTCGTACAGCCGTTCCTTCAGAACAAATCTCCCCACCTCTCTCTACCTCTCTCTCTCTCTCTCTCTCTTCCTCCCTCCCTTCCCCCTCTCTCTCTCTAAAATATTGAAACGCCAAGCATTACTTGCTCCAATTTAAAGTTAGTGATAATGGCGATGATCACATTGTTTCGCCCTAAAATTTCTCTTCCTTCTTCTTCAGCCTCAGCTTTTCTTAAGTTTCTTCTTCAACAGCAAATGGGTGTTTATACTTTCAAAAGCAGCAGCAGCAGCAAGGTATGGTTTCAAAACATCGATCATGCTCGAGCTTGCTTTAATGCCATGCTTCTTAGGAAATCTCAGCCTTCTATTGTTGAATTTTGTAAAGTGCTGTCTTCAATTGTTAGAATGGGACATCATCAGTGCGATCAAGAAAAGGCAATGAGACATTATGAGACTGTCATTTCGTTATCCAGGCAAATGGAACTTGCTGGAATTTCTCATAATATTTTTAGTCTCACCATCTTGACCAATTGCTACTGTTATTTACATCATGTGAATTTTGGGCTCTCTCTTTTCGGCAAAATACTTAAGCTTGGCTTGAACCCTGGTATTGTAACGTATAGTACCTTATTGAATGGGCTCTATAAAGAGGGAAAAGTAGATAGAGCTAAGATGGTGTATGATGATATGCTGCGGCGAGGGTATCTGCCTAATGTATACACTTACACCATTATAATTAACAATCTTTGTAGAATTGGGGAAATCGATGAGGCTGTTGGATTTCTCAAGGAAATGGAAAACAAAGTAGGCTGTGAACCAAATGTTGTTACTTACAATTCAGTGATCGGTAGATATTGCTTCCAAGAGCAAATGGATGAAGCTAGAAGCATATTTGATTTGATGGTTAGTAAGGGCACTGAACCTGATGTTCGTACTTACAACACCTTAATCTATGGATATTCTAAGATGGAAAGGATGGATGAGGCCATGCATCTTCTTGACGAAATGGTGAGAAAAGGTTTAGTTCCTAACATAGTTACTTATACTATGTTGATAAGAGCCTTGTGCCAGGTTGGGAGACCTTGGGCTGCACAACAGCTTTTCGCATACATGCGTGATTGTGGAGAAGCTCCAAATATAGTAACATACTCAACTTTGATTAAAGGGTTCTGCCAACTGGGGAATCTTGACGAAGCATTGTCACTGTTAGAAGAGATGCAACGGAGTGGTTTGAAGCCTAACTTGGTGATCTACAATATCCTTATTAATGGAATGTGCAAGTCTGGGAAGATTCAAGATGCAAAGGAACTGTTTTCTAGACTGCCTAATGAAGGGTTTCAGCCAGATGTTTATACATACGTTACACTAATTGAGGGTCTTTGGGAACAAGGAAATGCAATTGCAGCACAGAAACTTTTTAGAGAAATGGAACAGAATGGCTGCTCCCCCAATGAATGCTCTTATAATGTCATGATCCAAGGATTTCTCAAACACAATGATCCATCAATGGCAGGGCAGTTTGCCGAAGAAATGGTCAATCGAGGTTTATCTAAAGATGCAGCCACCAGAACCTTGCCGAAAAAAGATGAAGTTGTGCTCCCTAATATACAATACAGCTCAAATAAATTAGCCAGGGCTCTGTGAAGTTCTTTATCTTGTATAAATTGTAGCATAGTTTCTGTTATGAGGTAATTTGTAGCATAGTTTCTGTTACGAGTAATTTGGTCCCTACATCATTTGGTTGATCGTGATAGTTTAGGTGATATCAGTTTGGTATAATTTAAGAATTGTATATAGCTTGTTTGTTTTTCAACTGGTCATGCAAGTCTCATGATTGCTTAATTAAGAGAAGTTTATAAATTGGAGGGATACATCCATTAATTGGAATCTGCTATTTCACATTCAAATGCCCTTATGAGTTAATCTTAGTATTCAGCAGTGTTACCATCAAAGCTTGTAGTTGCTTCACTCTTTCCAAGGTCTAGAAACCCTGCTAATAGAAAGTCAGAAACACTGATATAATTTCTGTGCATGTAGCTTTGTGAGTTTCTATGGAATGTTGGATTCTTGTGCTTAATTAGGTATTCCTTTTATTCTGCTGTTGAGTTTTAGAAGGTGTAGGATACCAACAAATTATTAATTTATTTATTTTCCTTTTAATTTTTGTCTCTCCTTTGTAGAATGTTGGATTTCTAGGTTGTAGCTTGAATATAGAACAACTAATTACTCTAATGGCGAATTTCAGAAATGAAACAATCAGATGACAAAATGGAAGAACATGTTTGATAGATAATGAATCTGGAGGTAGAAAAAGTCAAGTTATAAGATATCTGTGTTGTATGTATCTGAAGCCAAGAAAATTCTATATATAATTAGGAAGAAAGTCCTTCACAACCCCTGCTTTCCCCCTTAAAAGCTTGTTTATATTCTTCACTCATCAGCCACATCGATGATCACATCAGTTTTGTCAACTTCGATCCTTTCTTTTTTTCCTCTAGATGAATGGCATTTTGACTACAGAGACTCTGCCAAAAATGTCTACAAGTAAATGAAGTATTATGAAAGATGCCCACAAGTAATCTACAGATTTGACCCTCAATTTACAGCCTACACAAGAAAAATAACAACAAAATTTTTGAAAATCTAATATTTATGGGTTCTGGTGAAAGTGTTGCAAAGACATCACAGAAGAATTCATATGAGAGAAACAGAGGAGGCTTAGTAATAGCATTGGCTTATGTTATCAACAAGAGGAAAAAGAGGGCCTTGCTACTATGAAGGTATCTTTCCAATTATGCATCCGAGAATTACCAGCCCTTTTAGGCGTTAAGATTAACCATAATACAGTACAGATATGGATGTACAGTACAACAGCAACAAGTAAAATCAAAAAGTCTAAATAGATTATACACTATTCATCAAACGATCAAACGAGAGCAAGATCACTGCCTGAATAGTTTACGTGGATGATATCATTGTGACAGGAGATGATTCTAAGGAGATAAAGAAACTAAAAGATAACCTATCCATGGAGTTTGAGATAAAAGATCTAGGAAAACTCCAAGTATTTCCTAGGAATCAAGGTTGCACATTCAAAATTTGGGATTTTTATCTCTCAATAGAAATATATCTTGGATCTACTCGAGGAAATAGGTATGATGGGGTGCAAACCTTCATCAATTACCATTGATTATCATCGCAAGTTTGGTGAAGCTGTAAATAGTCCAGAAGTTGACAAGGGAAGATATCAAAGGCTGATTGGGAAGTTTAATTATCTTGCTCATACAAGACAAAATACAGCTTATGCAGTAAGTGTCTTAAGCTAGTTTACGCATACTCCTTGAGAAATACACTTACAAGCTGCACACAAAGTCCTTTAATACCTCAAGAGCACTCCCGAGAAAGGAATCCTATTCAAAAGAAATGGAAGAATCAACTCGGAAGCATACACAGACGCAGATTGGCAAGGGTCTCTAGTTGACTGAAGATATACCTCAAGATACTGCACCTTTCTTAGGGGAAGTCTTATAACTTGGAGAAGTAAGAAACAATCAATAGTCTCTAGATCGAGTGTTGAAGTCGAGTTTCGAGCAATGGCCCAAGGAATATATCAGCTATTATGGATAAAAATTATTCTAGAAGATTTGGGGATAGAATGGGAAGGCACTATAAAGTTGTATTGTAACAATAAATCGGCTATCAATATCGCACACAGTCTTGTTTAACATGATCGAACAAAACATGTGGAAATTGATCAACATTTAATCAAAGAGAAGCTCGAGAATGAACTTATTTGCATTTCGTATATACTCACCAACAAACAACCGGCAAATATCCTAAAGAAGGGACTTCCTAGTGCAGCATTTCAAAGTATCACCAACAAAATGAGAATGGAAAATATTCATTCAGCAGCTTGAGGAAGAGTGTTGACGAATCTATCTAGATTCATTAGATCGGATTCTCGGGAAAATGATTCCCCGATTTTCCTAGTAAATCGTCGGATTCTCGGTTAAGTAATTTATGATTTACCGAGTCAATGCAAGTCGTGATAATTGGTTGTAATTACAAATATTAATTCTAATTTTTTTAATTAAAGGTTTCCTAGTTTATATTGTAAACTAAAATAGCTCATACCCCTTGTAATCTATAAATAAGTGTAAGTCTCTCTCGGTAATATAAGAACAATATTTCTATGTTTAGTTCATTTACTTCTCTTAATCGAATTGCTTATGTTTTTACTAAACCTCTGCATGTTGATTGATTTCTTATGCTTACTTTAAAGTTTTGTGTGAGTTCTTTTCTCTCATTGGTTGGAAAAGGTATATTAGGTCATACAAGTTAGTTTTCTTATATATGTTATAATTTTCTATAATATTGCCTATATCACGGACATTGTGATATTTTCCGTATTGTACGTAATTCTAAATATAAATACAGCACGATACCACTGCTTAGAGTTATGTAGTTATAAGAATATCTTTTATAGTTCTATTTTGTATTATTTCTCTCAACAATACACTATAGGATGTTTTGATTGATATCTAGTTCTTACATTTTATATATTTTTTCTTTCAATAACACAAGTTTTACAAATGTTTTCTTACAAACTGTCAACAAGAAAAGAAAAATATGATTATAACACTATTAAGAAATCAACCTCAATTAATATTATGAAAATATTATTTACAATACGATAAAAATATCACCAAAAAAAATCATAGACACTTTTTATTATTTTTGTGTGTGTGTGTGTGTGTGTTTTTTTTATAGAAAAACATACGATTTATACATGATATTTAATAGCAAAACTAGATTTAATCTAATCGAAAAGATGTCAATCAAAACATCTTGTAATTGCCGTGAATTCTTTTATGTCAACCTTAATTAAAAAGACTTTCAACAAAAAATCCTATTATTGCTTAGCAATGGTCTACAAAGTAATCTTACTTCTGATGTTTTGAACTTGTGAATTGAATTAATTATTGCATATACTCTAATTTATGCATTAATTATGTTTTTGGTGTTATTTTTTATAATTAACTATGATAAAAACACTAAAACTCTATATGTAAATCATAACTTGATCATGTTTATAAGTTAGCTATCCAGATTGGTTGGAATCCATCTAGATTTCTATGTCCGAATTGCACTTCTTAATGCCTAATTGTAACCGAATATTGTGTCTCAAATCAACTGAACACGAGTTAATTATTGAGCTGGTTTGTTGTGAGAATGTTCTCTGCGTATTTTTACCTTGTCAGCTGCCAACCTTATTATAAAGTTCAGTTGATAGGCCTCCCATGTAAACAAGCTTATCCAACCAAGTATCTGATGGGCCTTGAAAAATTTTTTAATGACTACCTGGGCCTTTGGACCTGTACCCAAATTTGGGTATAACAGTATTTTAGAATTGAACTCTGTAGGGAAAAAAAAAAAATTGATAAATTATAAATCGAAAAGTCCTACTAATGTTTAAGGACCACTTTTACATATTAGCCAATTTAACAATTCGAGAGTATTTAAAGATGGACAACTATCTGGAGTCACATTTAATAAAAAAATGTTAAATTTTATAGATCATATTTTGATTTTATTGTTGGTGTTTTACTCGTGTTTTGAACATGATCGATTCTATCTTTAAAGTGAGATGAAAATATTTTGAGAAAATAAAAAAAAATTGAGGATTAGAATTTTCATGACTCAAATATAATAAATCATGTTAAGGTAGATTACAATAACTTAGAAGGGATAGAGTGAAATTGTTTGTATCCGCCAATTGTTTGTTTGTACTCAAAAATCAAAGCCCAATGATTTATCGCTTGTTGGTTCCACCAATGCGGTGTACGGACATGCAAGTATCGGTTGTCCATTCGATTGGTGTGTCTTGTCATTGTTCTAACCTTCAAAAGAAAAAACTGAAATGGAGGAGTTTTAGTTGAATTTGCCAAATGATTTGTTAAAGTTCATCCTTTGCTTCCATATTTGACGAGCATATCCACAAAACTAAACAGAAAAATGATTTTAAGGCTGCTAAGCTCATTCTTCCGTGTGTTATGCGCTCTTTGTTTCATGTCCCATGTAAAAAACGCCTCTGCCTTTGGCTTCGCAAATGAGACAGACCGACAAGCTTTGCTCGCCATTAAGGATCAGATATCAAGCGATCCTGTTGAAGCTTTAAGCTCATGGAACAACTCACTGAGTTTCTGCAGTTGGCAAGGAGTTACATGTGATCGTAGGCGTCAAAGGGTGACAGCCCTGAAGCTGCAAATGCTGAAACTGACAGGTTCCCTATCTCCCTACGTAGGAAATCTTACCTTCCTTAAGGAGATCAATCTCAGCACAAACAACTTCCATGGTGCATTTCCACAAGAAGTCGGTCGATTGTTTCACCTACAGTTTCTTACTCTATCAGATAATTCTTTCCAAGGTGAACTTCCCAGAAATCTGAGCCGTTGTTCGAACCTCAAACTCGTTGATATGGGGGGAAACGATTTTACAGGGCAAATTCCTAGCCAGCTTGGCTCTTTACGTAAGCTCCATACACTTGGCCTCTTGAAAAACCATTTCACAGGTTCAATCCCAAGATCTTTAGGGAACCTCTCAAGTCTCAGAGTTCTTTCTCTTTTGTACAACAATTTTGAAGGAAGCATGCCTATTGAACTAGTACATCTCTCCAACTTGCAATTGTTACAGTTGTCTGCGAACAGATTATCTGGTACGATTCCTCCACAGCTTTACAATATTTCTTCTATGTACTTTCTTGCCATAGCTGAAAACCAATTAAGCGATCGCCTCCCACTAAATTTAGGCTTGACCCTTCCCAATCTCCAAGAGATTTACTTGGGAACGAACCAATTATCTGGGCCTATTCCAATATCCTTGGCCAACGCCTCAGGACTCGAAGTCCTCGCTTTAGCTTCAAATGCTTTAACGGGGCCTCTGCCGAAGAATTTAGGGAACTTGCAAAATCTTCGATGGATAAGTCTTGGCAACAACCCTCTTGGGGATGAGAATGGCAGTGACTTGACTTTTCTTACCTCCTTAACCAGTTAAACCAAACTAAGATTGATAGATCTTTTTAAAAATCAGCTAAGAGGCTTGTTGCCGAATTCCATTGCAAATCTCTCCACAAATCTTTATTGGTTATCTCTGACCTTTAACTACATAGCTGGAGCCATTCCTGGCGAGATTGGAAATCTTAAAAACCTGCAATATCTTTCTTTATCTGAGAATAGGCTCACAGTTAGACTACCGGAATCTATTGGAAAGCTGTCTAATTTGAAACAACTATATGTTAACACAAATAAAATCTCGGGGAAAATTCCACCCTCTTTTGGAAACATTTCTGGATTACTCCGCCTCGGTATGGCAAAGAATATTCTTGAGGGATCGATACCTGCTTCATTAGGTAACTGCATTCACTTGGAAGGATTGGATGTTGCAGTGAATAACCTTAGTGGGGTCATTCCTGAAAAGATTTTTGATCTTTCATCCCTCACAATCGGACTTTTTTTAGGTTCTAATGAATTTATAGGACCATTGCCATCACACGTGGGTAACATGAGAAATCTCATTCTATTGGATATTTCAAAAAACAAATTCTCTGGAGAAATTCCAAGCAATATTCTTGAGAACAGTGTCATGTTAGAGACCCTCAACATCAGCGGTAACTTCTTCGAAGGAACTATTCCGTCCACTTTCAAGAAACTACGAAGCCTTCGAGTCCTTAACCTTTCCAGCAATAATTTCACCGGGCAGATTCCAGAGTTTCTTGGGGATTTGCCTCTCCTTGAAAATCTCAAGCTCTCCATTAATGAGTTCGAGGGTGCAGTGCCAACTGAAGGAGTTTTCAAGAACGCTACTGCATTTTCAGTTGCTGGAAATCACAAGCTGTGTGGAGGAATCGAGGCAATTCAATTGCCTCCATGCCCAAAAAGGAAACAACACAGCCGTTTCTTGCGGAGAGTAGTGATTCTTGTAAGCAGTGTTTCTCTCTTCATTCTGTTTCTGCTGGCATGTATCTTTCTTGTTATATACAGGAAAAGATCGCACAAAAGGGAACCCATTTTGGCTTCACTTTGGGAGAAGAAATATCAAAAAGTTTCCTATGCAGATCTTGTTCATGCCACTGACGGGTTCTCTTTGGCCAACATGATTGGTGATGGAAGATATGGTACTGTTTACAGAGGTATTCTCAGTATTGATCAAACTGTTGCTGTGAAGGTGCTCAAACTTCAACAGCAAGGAGCGGACAAGACTTTCATGGCCGAAATTGAAACATTAAGGAGCATCAGGCATCGGAATCTTGTCAGGATAGTTACTATCTGCTCAACCATTGATTTCAAAGGCAATGACTTCAAAGCTTTGATCTTTGAGTTTATGCCCAATGGAAGTTTGGAGACCTGGCTGCATCCAAGTTCATTGGAGCTACAAGACTCAAAAAAATTGTCTCTACTGCAAAGGATTAACATGCTGATTGATGTGGCATCAGCATTGGATTATCTTCACAATCATTGTGATGAACCAATAGTCCACTGCGATCTAAAACCAAGCAACATCCTTCTCGACAATGACCTTACTGCTCATGTGGGTGATTTTGGCCTTGCAAGGATTCTTTCAGCTACCACTGGCGAATTGCTTTCTGCATCTAGAAGCTCACTTTCTATAAGAGGAACCATTGGATATGTAGCTCCAGGTAAATTGTTAGATCTCCTATATTTAAGTTCAGGATTTGGTGGTCATTTATGATGATTTTCTCAAACTTTTTCTTTAACTTCACTAAGTTTGGTTAAAATCAATTAGAGCCATCTATTCAAACAAAAGAGAAACTGAAAGAACCATATGACAATTCTTTAGTTGTTTCTTAAACTGCAGAGTATGGTATGGGTGGAGAGGCTTCAATACATGGTGATGTGTATAGCTATGGGATCCTCCTGTTGGAGATGTTTACAGGCAAAAGGCCCACTGACAGCATGTTCACCGGCAACTTGAACCTGCATAGTTTTGCTGAAACAGCCCTTCCTGATCGTGTAATTGAGATTGTTGACCCTCTGCTAACAATTCAAGACGAATGCAGGCCAGATATGATTACCCCAATTAGCATTGGTGACGCAGCAAGAAGGCAAGAAAGAACAACCCCTGTTTCAGCGTTGTAAAACAGAGTATGGCAGAGTCTGCCCGTGCTTGTAAAATCCAAGCTAAACAGTATAAAGCCAATGTTTATTCTAAATTTAAAAACCTCCCTAAACAAAGTTGCAGTACTCCTTTAAATAGCAGCTACTCTACTTAGAGTGTTTTAGGTAAATTCAACTACTAAAACCGTAACATATGCTAAAACTAAAACTAAGGTATTAGCTAGCTAATAAAACTAAGGTACTGAGATAAACACGTAACATACATGCAAAGTGTAAGATAAGCACGTAACGTACATACACGTACATGCAAGTCTAATATTCTTTGTCAGTCCCCTCCATTTGAAGAAAGCTCGTCCTTGAGTTATCCTGCATATCTGGATACAAAGGTTCTTCAGAATGAAACGAATAAATGTCAGCCACATTAAAGGTGTTAGAAATTCCCATTGTGTTTGGCAAATCAACAATATAGACATTATCGTTGATCTTCTTTAGTATGTGGTAGGGGCCATACTTTTTAGGCTGTAGTTTGCTATAACTCCCTATTGGAATCCTTTCTTTACGTAGAAACACCATAACCTGATCTCCCACTTCAAAAACTTGGCTCCTGCGATGTTTATCAGCTGCTGCCTTATATTTAGCGTTAGCCTTTTCTAACTTCTGCTGCACCTCGGTCCGCACATCCTGCCATTGGTTAGCTAATTTTTCTACAGCTATACTAACTCCTGGAACTCGGGGTAGCTTGATCAAATCAAGAGCATGTTGTGGCGGCTTGGTGTACACAATAGAAAAAAGGAGATTTTCCCGTAGCACTATGGACAGCATTGTTGTAGGCAAACTCTGCTTGTGCTAAAACTGAATCCCATTGCTTTGGTCTATCTCCACAAATACAACGAATCAAGTTGCCAAGGGTTCTGTTTACTGATTTAGTTTGCCCATCTGTTTTGGGTGAGCTGTGCTGCTAAAATTGAGTGAGGAGTCAAACATCTTCCACAATGTCCTCCAAAAATGTCCAAGAAACTTGCTATCCCTATCGGAAGTAATGGTCTTAGGTACACTATGCAGACGCACAATTTCTTTGAAGAACAACTTGGCTACCCCATTGGCATCAGAGGTCTTCTTGCAGGGGATAAAATGTGCCATTTTGGAAAACCTGTCAACAATCACAAAAACTGAATCCATACCTCTTTGTGTTCGAGGCAACCTAAGTACAAAATCCATAGAGAGGTCTTCCCAAATGTTCTCTGGGACAGGCAAAGGCATATATAACCCAGTATTTTGGGACTGTCCCTTTGCAGTTTGATACACATAGCATCTTTGCACCATTCTAGACACATCCCTCCTTAAATGTGGCCAGTTAAACCTCTCTCCTACTGCTGCAATGGTCTTGTCACGACTTAAGTGACCAGCAAGACCTCCCCCATGCAGATCACGGATTAATTTTTCCCTTAAGGAAGTTTTTGGGATACAGAGCTGATTTCCTCGCATGAGGAAACCATCATAAATGTGGAAATCTTCAGCAAATTGATTGGTATTGCATTTCTCCCATAAGCTACCAAAGTCGGCATCTGTTTCATACAAACTCTTCAACTCCTCAAATCCCATAATGTCTTGCTTCATAACTACCAGTAACTCTGCGTGTTTGCTTAAGGCATCAGCTACCTTATTTTGGACTCCTGCTTTATGTTTCAAGCTAAAAGTGAATTTTTGTAGAAATTGGGACCACCTGGCATGCATGTCTCTCCCAACTCGTTTTTGGCTATTTAAGTATTTCAAAGTATCATGATCTGAACATAATACAAACGCCTTGCCAATCAAGTAGCGCTCTCAATTCTTCAAGGCACGAATGACATAGTAGAACTCCTTATCATACGTTGTTCATTTTCGTCATGCTTAGCTGAGCTTTTCACTAAAATAAGCTACTGACCTTTTCTTTTGTGACAAAACGGCTCCTATTCCCACCCCACTAGCATCACATTCAACTTCAAACAAAGCCTCAAAGTCCGGTAAGGCTAAAATTGGCACCGTACATAATTTCTCTTTTAAAGTAGCAAAACTAGTTATAGCCTCCTCACTCCATTGGAATTTACCTTTCTTGAGACACTCCGTAATTGGGGCTGCAATGCTATTGAAATTTCGAATAAATCTTCTATAAAATGTTGCTAATCCATGAAAACTCCTAACTTCGGTTATTGTTTTAGGGATAAGCCATTCTCTAATAGCTTGAATCTTCCGTTCATCTACTCGTATACCATCTCGCTTCCACTATATAGCCTAGGAATAATAGTTTGTCCGTCATAAAGCTACACTTTTTTAAATTCATATACAATTTATTATTCCGCAAGATTGTTAGAACCTCTCGTAAATGCGGAACATGCTCCTTTTCCGATCGACTATAAATTAGGACGTCATCGAAATAAACAACCACAAACTTGCCAATGAATGGTTTTAGTACCCGATTCATCATCCTCATAAAAGTGCTTGGAGCATTAGTCAAGCCGAATGGCATTACCAACCATTCGTAGAGCCCTTCCTTGGTTTTGAAAGTCGTCTTCCATTCATCCTCGAGCTCGATTCGAATATGATGATACCCACTTCGAAGATCAATCTTTGTAAACACCTTTGCACCATGTAGCATGTCAAGCATGTCATCTAGTCTTGGAATTAAGAACTTGTATCCCACTCGTAATCTTGTTAATAGCCCTACTATCAATACACATCCTCCAACTTCCATCTTTCTTTGGTGTTAGTAGAGCTCAGTACGGCACATGGACTCAAGCTCTCTTGGATTTGCCCCTTCCATAGTAATTCCTCTACTATCTCTCTCAAAATCTCACTCTCCTTTGGGCTCATACGGTAATAGGGAAGATTTGGTAACCGGCCCCGAAACTAAATCAATGTGGTGTTGAATGTCCCTCATAGGGGTAAACTCGCTAGTAACTCTTCCGGGATAATCTCTTTAAACTCCTTTAATAATGCTTTGACGAGCGTTTGGATATGCCACGCCATCTCTCTTCTCTTCGACTATTGACACTTGCTTTACAATTAGAACGTGAACTCGCTTTGACTCTTTAACCGCATTTTCCATCTCTTGCTCCGAATGAGTAAAGGTAAAGAGAGTCCTTCTCTTTACTTTAGAAGTTTTGGTTTTAGGACTCCTTTTTATTGGCAGTAGAGTAAACTTTTTTTGTTCTTTCTCCAACCTATATATATTTTTCCTCCCATCGTGTCGTGCGAAACATCAAATTACCGTGGCCTACCAAGTAACAAGTAACATGCATCCATATCCACTACATCAAAATCTATCTCATCTCCGTATTTGCCAATAGAAAAAGGTACCAAGCATCATTCGACACTTGAATTTTCTTCCCCGCTATAATCCAACCAATTGAATAAGGATTAGGATGTTTCTCCACTTTCAGCCCCATCCTTTCCACCACGTCCTTTCCTATGATATTTTCACAACTCGCCATCGTCAATAATGATGTTAAATAACCGGTTACGATAGTATATCTAGTCCAAAACAATTGATGTCGCCGAGTGTTATCCTCTAATTTTGGTGTCAACATCATTCTCCTCACCACATAGTTTTGACATTTACCATCCTCCTCAAATTCGTTGTCGTCTCCATCGGTTTCACAGCATACTTCACCATCTTCCTCATCTCGCTCCACCACATGGAGCCTTCGAGCGGATCACTAGACCTATGCCCAAATTGGTTGCACTTAAAACACTTACCCACGATTAGCTTAGTATAGGGGTTCATGGCCCTCCGACCGTCTTTCACTTCGTGACCTTCGTTTTCCCGTGGCTTTCTCTTCCATAAGCCTTTCATGGTGTGTTGGAGAAATCGTACAACCTTGTTTTTGTCATTAGAAGTTTTATAATTATCCCCACCATAACTTCTACGAGAGTAATCGGCCTTCCTTTTTCTTGCAACATTAGTTCGGCCTTTAGTGGCCATATTTCGAGCCTCCGATAAAGTCCTTATTACATGGACCCTTATTTTGTCCCCGATGACTAGTTTTAGACCTTCCAAGTACCTAGCAACTTGTTGCCCTTCGATCTCCCTCAAGTCATTCCTTTCGACCGACCTCATGAAGTCGAGCACTCGTATTCATGCACAGTCTTCATGCCCCGATGGCATCTTTGGTACTGCTGGAAAAGAATCGTTCATAATTAGGGGAAGAAAATCCTTCATCGGGAGATGTTTCATTCGGTACCGTGTCCCGATTGGTGCCTTTCCCTCATGGTTCCTCCCGACCTGCAACCTTTCCCACCAAGCGAAGCTCCCTCTTTAGCCTACATGCAACTAGCTTCACCCTCCTTCCTTCGAGGATCTCCATATATTCAAAGAACTTTTCTATATCAACAACCCAATCCATGAATTCTTCAATATCGAGGTTTCCATTAAAATAAGGGATGTCTACCTTCAACTCGAAACCATTATTTTCCCTATCTCCATAATTACGTCTCCCTTGATCAACACGCCTCGGCATGGGTTCCTCAAAATATTCATCTTCGCCCGAGTCATCATCATAAAATTGTTGCCGACGTCCGTGAACACTAGGAGCAAGTCCGTTGACGGCTTGCCCACGAGCGACGTCTTCTCCGGACCGTGGTCCGTCATCATTCCGGTTCCTATTAGCATCTATGCTTAGAGCATCTAGTCGATCCATAATTTCTTCAAACGTCTTTCTAAATGCCGGAATCTACGATCCATTCGCCGCTCTAAAGCCATCAACGCCACCCCAAAGTCTAGGATCTCGGCCCTCCGATCTTCGCCCCGAGGACCGCCGCCTATCGTAATCGGGACATTTGCCATCGAATAAGTGAGCAACCTCGCTTTGATACCAACCGACGCGAGCAGAAGGCAAGAAAGAACAACCCATGTTTCAACGTTGTAAAACGAGTATGGTAGAAGTCCGCCCGTGCTTGTAAAATCCAAGCTGAAAAGTCTAAAGCCAATGTTTATTCTAAATTTAAAAACCTCCCTAAACAAAGTTGCGAGTACTCCTTTAAATAGTAGCTACTCTACTTAGAGTGTTTTAGGTAAATTCAACTACTAAAACCGTAACATATACTAAAACTAAGGTATTATCTAGCTAGTAAAACTAAGGTACCGAGATAAACACGTAAAGTACATACACGTACATGTAAGTCTAATATTCTTTGTCAATTGGGAAGATAGAGGAGTGTTTGGCATCCATCTTTCGGGTTGGAGTTCTATGTTCTGACGACATACCAAGTGAGAGAATGCTTATAGGAGATGCTCTTTCGGAACTAAATAAAACCGGGAACATTCTCCGTAGTAACTAGAGATATCATGCTTGTAGGAGATGCTCTTTCAGAGTTAGAGTTTTATGATAATTTATATGGCTCTAATCAAGTAATAAGGTTATCTTTGTTCCTTTTTTTTCTTTTTTTAACCGACTATTTTTTTTCTCCTATTCAATCTACATATGCACTCGTCTTCATATTTTGTAGAAAATCAAATAAGATCAATTCGGAGAAAATTGATTTTATCGGTTGACTTCAAATCAAATCCGACTCTAAATAGTCAATACTAGTTTATTGTTTGCATGCGGACGGTATATTTGACGAAGCTAGGAGTATATATATATATATATGAATAGTGATGTTTGATTATATCAAAACATACTTTCGGAGCAATACAATGTTTTTATTTAGATTTCTTGAATACGTAGTCTCTAAGTTTTGAACATGAAAAGTATTACATCTTATTTATATTTAAACCGCATCCGTTATTGATATTTTTTAAAAAAACTAAAAAGCATGATTTGTTTTTCATTATGTATGGATTCTAAAACAAAAATTTATAATAATTTAAACGAGTAAGTTTCAATCGAGAAGCCAAAAAAATCTGCCTTGATATTGTTTTTTATGGAGATTGTATGGGAAAAATAAAATAAAAATTAATTAAAAATTTATATCAAAATTAACAAATAAAAAATAAAATTTTTAATTCTTATTCAGCATTCATGAGACAAATATTTTTGGAAGCACTAACATTAAATTTATTAATATATTTATTTATAAAATAATCAAACTATTAACATAAAAAAAAACTCCAATCTTATTTCAAAATTTGTTGAGTGGTATTTAAAATGTTATTTTAATTATCTTAATTGAAGAGAAATTGATTTAAAAGTATCAATAAATAAATAGTGAAAGATTGGTGTTTCGTATGTAGGTGTATAGTTCATTTCTAATAAAACACATAATTTTTTTTTAATACACTATGACTATACGTAATGGATTTATATTCGTAACCTAAAATAAAAAGTATCATAAAATTACTTACAAAGAGGGAATATATCAAATTAAGTTGAAGTCAATAGATTCAAATAAAAATAAAAACAAATCAATTTCGATAAATTTTAATTATATAAAAGAAGAAACAAATAAAAAATGCAAATCCCATTGTTTAAAATATATACACACACATGCACACACACACACATGTTTGGACAATCTGCATAGACCTCACATGCAAAGCAATCCTTATATTTTTTTACTTCTTACTTTTAATTATTTATTAATTATTGTTAAAATCATTTTTTTTTCAAAAATATAGGATAAATTATATGCATTACACTTTTAGCCTTTAAATTAAACATATATTTAAAATAATGTTATTCTCATTAAATATATATATATATATATATATATATATATATATATATATATATATATATATATATATATATAAGAATGTATCTAATAAATTATATTGAATTATTTTTTTTGTAAAAAGAGAGAGATAGAAATAATCCAGTTTGAAAAAAGTTTATTCCAAAATGTAGAAATAGAGAAAAATAAATTATATTTGTTATCAAATAAAATCTCCTCTAAAAGTAAAAGAAAAAAAATAATTAGATGAGAATAAAAAAAATACAAATTACAGACATAAATTTTAATTAATCAGAGTATCATAATTTGAAATATATGTTTAATCTAAAATATGCAAATGTAGCATAAATATTTTCTTCTCAAAAGTCGTGTGAAAAACAAACAGAGCGAGAGAGAGCTTTTCCATAATTTTATCACAATTTTAAAATTAATTTAGGCGAAGAAAGGAAAAAAACAAGTACGTTCGGGCTAACCCATGTAAAATAAATAAATAAACAAACAAACAAAAGAGACGAACAATGCGTAGTTTGCGTCGTGCATAGAAGACAACGCTTCATTTTCTCTACAACTTCCGAGCACCTTTTGTTGGTCGAAAAATTGGAGCTGCTATTTTTAAGCATCTCGAACTAAATTTTTAATTATTTTTGTCAAAATCAATGAAACAACCTTTAAAACTCATTTGAAAACTTAAAAATCGTTTTCATACACTTAAAAAATACAACGAAATCAATTTTAAATACTCAAATATAGAATTTGATTTTTTTTCCTTTTTCTTCGTACTTATGCTTTAAGACCGTCATGGACAAACTCATTTTACCGAGATAAACATATCAAAGTCAAGATTGATAGTTATTGCAGTCAAAATGGCTTTGTCTATCCTCCCTTTTGTCTCTTTGCTTCTTTCTCTCCTTTACACCTACAAACCAAAACAAAATTTTGAAACAAAAATATAATATTTGTTAAAACAAAAATTTTGAAAAATTTAGGAACTAAAATATAATATTTGTTAAAATTTGTATTAAACGCTTGAAAGACTTAAAAATCACAGTAAGATCACCCGTGAACAGTGAGAGATACTAGTGTTAATTGAACAATAACAACCCCATATGCTTTACCGTTTTTTTTTTAATAGCATAGCATATATATAAACTATGGATATGTTGACAGGCGTCGTAGAAACTTTAGCCTGCATGATTTAAGAGCCCATCGTGATCCAGGCTTATGATTCAAGATGAAGGTAGGCCTGGAAAAACCAGCCCAAGTAGCCCAGTCAATCACAATACAAAACAAAGTAAAAGGAAACTACAAATTATAAAATGGGCCTAACCAAGCTTTAGATCGCACAGCCCACAGTTACAGTTTTAGGCTTGAACAGGTGAGATTTGACTACTTGATCCATCACGAGCTACTAATTTACTAAAATACACACATCTATGACTACTAATCATTTGCTTTGCTGTCTGTTAAACAAATCAAGGCACTTTCTCCGTGCTTTTAAACAAATCCAAAAGCATAATGCACTTTCAAAGCGTATAGCACCATTATCAACAATATTGTCCTGAAAAAGATGAACTTTAAATTAAATAAATAGTTTTAAATTCGAATTTTTTTATATCTAAAAAGTTTATTAGATAATTATGATTATTTTATATTTTTGATCGAACAAGTAATGATTAGCTTGAATGTTTGAATATGAAATTCTCTAGGATTAAAAAAGAAAAAGTGGTATAGTAACTTTTGACAAAGGTTTCAGAATTTTGAACATTGAACGCAAAAAGTTATAACAGATTATTAAACGGAAAAGGCATCGAACTGGTCCAACGGTAGACGAAATGTTTCAGCATATTAAACTAGATGTTTCAAACATCAGGCTAGAAAGAACTTCCGCGCAGATAATACCTTCTGCTTTTTAAGTCAAGACGCTCAAGAAAATTCTGTGATCTATTTATTTATTTTATCGGGGGTTCTTCGAAGTCTCATGTAGTCTCCAACAGGTAAGATTTTTCAGAACATAAAAAACGGAAAGCAACGTGGAAGAACCAAAAAGGCTAGATTTTCACCTGCAAACGCATACAATGTTTGACAGTCCTGACTTAAAAGTCATAAAACAGCAAGTTCAAAGTCTCAGTTTCTCACTTATCCACCCCTTAATCCTACTGTCCATTTGACAGCTAAGAACTACGGTTCTCTCGTACACATTGTGTGGACAATTTTTCCAACACAATCTTTTGTTGTACCATGCTTCACATATATATGTATATTTTACTCTAAAAAGAAATAAAGTGCTTTCTATTAATTCCATATTTAACATGCTTAGGCGCAAAGCAAAAAGTAAAATAATTTCAAATGATCATTGCAGCATACATCATTAGGACTTAAAGAGTGTTATAAATAAATTTAGGGTATTGATTGAATGTGCCAGACGATACAGTTTCATTCTGTTCACAAAAATATTAGACCACAAAACTATGATTCCTAGGCTACTAAGCTCGTCTCTTTTAATCTTGTTCAGTGTCTACTGCCTTGAAAACACTACTTCCGCCTTGGGCCTCTCAAATGTGACCGACCGAGAAGCTTTGCTTGCTATCAAGGATCTGATAACAGTGGATCCTTACGAAGCTTTGAGCTCATGGAACAACTCGCTGCATTTCTGCAGCTGGCCAGGAGTTAGATGTGGTCGCAAGCTCCAACGAGTGACTTCCCTGAATCTGTCGTCATTACAGCTGGCAGGTTCCCTGTCTCCTAACATTGGGAATCTTACCTTCCTTAGGGTCATCGACTTAAGTACGAACAATTTCCATGGTAGCATTCCACAAGAAGTCATTCGTTTGTTTCGGCTACGATTTCTTTCTCTGGACTATAACTATTTCCAGGATGAACTTCCTACAAATCTGAGCCATTGTTTAAACCTGAGAGTCGTGAATGTGGGGAGAAACAATTTGAGAGGGAATATACCTGGCGAACTTGCCTCACTGCCTCATCTATACGAACTTGATTTCCTACAAAATCATTTCACAGGTTCAATCCCACCTGCATTTGGGAACCTCTCTGTTCTCAAATTACTTGTTCTTGGGGATAACAATCTTAAAGGAAGCATTCCGATTGAACTTGGAAGTCTCTCCAAGTTAGAAGTTCTAGACTTGGCTGACAACAAATTGTCTGGTATGTTTCCTGAACAGATTTGCAATATCTCGTCTGTTAAATTCATTTCCATAGCTGCAAACCAATTCAGGGGTCACCTCCCACTTGATTTAGGCTTGACGCTTCCAAATCTCCGAGCTTTGATCCTTGCGGAAAACCAATTCTCTGGGCCTATTCCAACATCCATAGCCAATGCCTCAAGAATTGAAGACCTCAATTTATCTTGGAACACTTTAACAGGGTTCATACCAAAGAATCTAGGAAACTTACAAAATCTCCTATATATAGATTTTGGGGGCAACCCCTTGGGGATGGCAATGGCACCAACTTGACTTTTCTAACCTCTTTAGCCAACTGCACCAATATAAGAGGAATCTCTTTTTACGGAAATCACCTAACAGGTGTTTTGCCGAATTCCATTGCAAATCTATCTACCAGTCTCCAATGGTTATCGCTGCAATCTAACAACATTACAGGAGCCATTCCTGCTGAGATTGGAAATCTTAAAAACTTATGGTTTCTTGCTTTGTCTCATAACAAGCTCACAGGTAGATTGCCTGAATCTATTGGGATGTTATCCCAGTTAAGAAAGTTCAGTGTTCACAGAAATAAAATCTCAGGAAAAATTCCATCCTCTCTTGGAAACATTTCTGGATTGCTTCGTCTCAATCTAGGGGACAATCTTCTTGAGGGAACCATACCTGTTTCTTTGTCTAACTGCATCCACCTTACAGAATTGCTGCTTGCACGCAATTACCTTAGCGGGTTCATACCCGAACAAATTTTTTTCTTTCTTCCACCATCATCCTTCGTCTAAATTCAAATAATTTGACAGGAAACCTGCCATCACAAGTAGGTAACATGACAAATCTCATTAAATTGGATTTTTCTAAAAACAAGTTATCTGGAGAAATCCCAAGCACCATTGAGAACTGTGTCATGTTAGAGTCCCTGAAGATGAAGGGCAACTTTTTTGAAGGAACTATCCCCTCCTCTATCAAGAAACTGAGAAGCATTCGAGTCCTAGACCTTTCCCGCAATGGTTTGTCTGGGCAGATTCCAGAGTTTCTTGGTGAATTACCTCTCCTCGAAAATCTCAACCTGTCCTTTAATGAGTTTGAGGGTGAACTGCCAACTGAAGGAGTTTTCAAGAATGCAAGTGCCTTTTCAGTTGCTGGAAATCACAAGCTATGTGGAGGAATCGACGCAATTCAATTGCTCGCATGCCCAAAAATGGGACAACAAAATTGGATAGTGGCTATACCTTTAGGCAGTGTTGCTCTCTTCATTGTATTGCTACTCGCTATCTTGAAAAGATTGCCCAAAACCGTATCTGCTTTGGCTTCAGCAGTTCCACCATTGGGGACCAATTATCTTAAAGTTACCTACGCAGACATCATTCATGCTACTGATGGATTCTCTTCAGCCAATATGGTTGGTGACGGAAGTTATGGTACTGTCTACAAAGGTACTTTCAAATCTGATGATCAAATTGTCACCGTGAAGGTGCTCAAACTTCATCAGCAAGGAGCCAAAAAGTCTTTCCTTGCTGAATGTGAAGCATTGCGTCAAGTCAGGCACCGGAATCTTGTTAGGATTATCACAGCTTGCTCTTCCACTGACTTCAAAGGCAGTGAGTTCAAAGCTTTGATCTTTGAGTTTTATCTCAATGGAAGTTTGGAGAGCTGGCTACATCCGATTCCAGTGGAGGTACAAGATTCTAAAAGATTGGGTCTAATGCAAAGGATAAACATAGTGATTGATGTGGCATCAGCATTGGATTATCTTCACAATCATTGCGAAAACCCAATTGTCCATTGTGATCTAAAACCAAGCAACATCCTTCTTGACAACGACCTTACTGCTTGTGTGGCTGATTTTGGCCTTGCAAGGATCCTTTCAGCTGCCACAGGTGAATCCCTTTCTACATCGACAAGCTCATTTGGCATAAGAGGAACCATTGGATATGTGGCAACAGGTAAAATACTCTGCAATCATCCTTTCTAAATTTTCTTCACAGTGGTTATGCTGATCAAAATCAAGAAGTTTAAAAAACCTCCGATTCAGATAATTGAATTGCACCTTCTCACCGTATATATGATTTATAGCTCTTGCATTTGGCTTCAGGTTTCAAAATTATTCAATAAATATTCTCAAGATTCTCATTAACTTCACTAAATTCGGTTAAACACAACTAGTGATTGTGCGTAAAATAAATACGGTTCAAATGCATTATTATCAACGTCAAAAAGAAAATTGAAACTACTGACCATTGTGACTCATTTGTGACTTGTTTCTTAAATTGCAGAATATGGTATGGGAGGAGAGGTTTCAATACATGGTGACGTGTATAGCTTTGGCGTTCTCCTGTTGGAAATGTTTACAGGCAGAAGACCCACTGACAGCATGTTCACTGGGAACTTAAACCTGCATAATTTTGTTAAATCAAAACTTCCTGATCAGGTATCAGATATTGTAGATCCTTTGCTTACAATTGATATCCAAGAGGCACTCGAGTCGAACAGAACTGGAAACATGCGAAAGATAAGGAGTTGTTTGACAGCAATCTTTCGAGTTGGAGTCCTATGTTCTGCTGATTTGCCAAATGAAAGAATGGTCATAGAAGATGCCCTGTCCGAACTAGATAAAATTAGGAATACTCTCAGTAGCAAGTAGAGAGATCTAAAGCCTGTTGACCATATAGAATCTTATGTTACCGTTGCATGATTTTAGGCAGCCAAATAAATTGTAAAGTTATGAATATGCAGGATTCTCTTGCCTTTTTAATGTTGTACATTTAAAGCAATGAAATATGATCCTCCATAGAATCAAACTTCTCACCAATTGGCCAATAAAATGCTACTCAAATGATACTAGTGTCTCTTTCTTTTCAAGGCATCTAGAGTTGGAAAATTTTATGGCATTCCAAAGTTTTCAACTTCCTCAAGCATGCTACCTCCTTTCCTTTAACCTTTTTCTACATCAACCCATGACAAAAAAAATTCCCAACCTTGAAACAACTCATCAACTGAACATGGCATAACTTAGATACTTCTCCACCAAGACATAATTCGACTCCTCAACGACCATACAACTTCACAATGGAGAAGTAGGTGCCAAGTTATTTCCTAACCAGAAATGCTAAATGGGCAAATATTGGCATACTCTCCAATTACATGTTTGGCAGCAAGTGAGCTTCTAATATTTAGTCTCTCGAAAACTGCTATCCAAGCAAAGGCTTCAACTTTCGGTGGAGCGAGGTTTAACCAAACAAAAGAGCGAATTGTATTTTCATCAGATAACAAATGACTGTCAAGCAAAGAACAACACGAACCGAGTAAACACATTAGCTATCATTTGTTATCTGGTCATATAATCTCCATAAACTTGTCTTTCTACATACATATAATTGAAAGCATACATTTATGAGCTTTCGACATTAGGTAGACCTTTATTACTGATTTTAATTTTTACTTTTTAAAGGGCTTACGTGATGAGTTTCGGGTGTAGTAACCATCCTCACAGCTAGGCCGGAGCCTGTCTCCTTTATTGAGCTTTCATACATTAGATTTTCTTTTCGCTCTTTACTTGGACCTGCTCATCAAATAAGTTGACAAAACTTACCATATGGTTTGTTGTGGCCAATAATGGCTAAGTGACCATTAAGACGAGTTAAAAAGGAGTCACGAGTTTGAACTAGACTTTATCAAGCAAAAGCTATTATAATAATAGAGCAGTGACATTGAGTTGGAATTTTAGAGCCCGAAAAAGGGAAAAGTGAAGCAATTTATTGGGGGGCTATTTTGGCACACCCATCATTCTCAAAGACTCCAAAGATGGAGGTTGACTCAAAAAAGCTCGTTCAACCTTGTGTGCCGAGGAATTTATGTTTACAAGGAGAGCCTAGTTTGTTGATTCAATGACAAAAATGGGTTGCTACAATATGAAGAAGCTAAAACAATATAAGAGAAGTCGGAAACTAGCCAATGAAAGAGCCAGACACTGAAGAAGAGAAAATTCTACTAATGCTTTCCTGTATTGAATAACAAGAGATCATGCATATGCTACATTTGAAGGAGGTAAATCTGAACTGAAACCTTACAATCTCCAATTATAGCCCAAACTCCTGACAAGGCCTCACTATTATGCCTGTTCAAAGCACTACCTAGTACCTACAACCTAACCTAACACAATCCCATAGGAAGTATGACTCGCTGCCCAGTTCATGTCATATAGCAAATCCAAAGCCTGCACCACTCAGCAGAGTAATTTAGCATTATTGTCGTCCGACAATGCAACCAAAAACAACCTTAACCAAACCCCACCTTGCTCACTGATTTATTGAACATTCAGTCATGCACTTACAACATGAATGGGAAAGATGAAGGATCCAGAGTAAAAAAACATTCATCAGAAGCAAGAACATAAATCCACCAATAACTTCGATGCACTGGCTCATAGGTAGTATCTCAACTAACGAGTCTTAATACATGAAGGTAGAACCAAATAATTTATTAGATGAGGTTTCCAATAGAAAATGAGCCAATTAATTCAATAGTACAGACCAAGATTCTGCAAGCTAATAATGTACATGAGTGTCATCCAACAAACATAAACTAACAATACAAAGCTGAGTTAAAGCAGGGAATAATTCCCTCAAACTAACATAATGAAGTAGCAACTATAGCTCAGTCTGCAATGACACGATTCTGCACTCGCAAATACTACTTGACCGTTCATCTTTTACGGAATTTGGGCCGAACTGTGATCACACCTGGCCTAGTCTCGTCAAATCGATATCTGAGGAAAATGTATCCTATTATGTCACTTTTTATTTCTAATTTATGCACTACACACGGGAAAGAAGAAGAGTGAGGAGGGAATCTCTTACCCATTATCATTGAGGAAACTTCTCACAGCTGTTGGGAGTGCAGCTTGCCCCCGGCTATGATTGCCTACACCTGTAGTAGAAAAATAAGTGCTGATGTCTAGTATATAAAGGGCTGAACTTCTACACAATATGCTTTAGACAGTTTTATACAATAAGCACTTTGATATGCATGCGAGCATGTTATGTGATATAAGGGGTCATCAACAAAAAGGGATGAATCCAAATTTGACCAGATTAACCGCATCTAACTTGATACGGTATACAATTGTATTAAACTGAACTGAGGTACCAATATTTGTTAAGAGTTCAAATGCACAGAAGTTTCATTTCACTAAACAACAACCCTTACTCTTTCTTCCTATTTTCATCCTGCATCCAGCCACTATACTGTAGAAACATAAATCCTAAAAGTGCTTGTTAATTTCTAAGCAGGAGAACTAACTGCTGTAAAATTTATCATAAATAACCAAGAACATGTACGCAAACAACTGCATGCATCCAGATGTGATCGCATGCACAAATTATGCATGCAAACCTGCTGGCTTTACAAATATTGAAGGGGTTATTTGGATGTTGAATCAATGATCCATTGCTTTTACCAATCAGCAGCTTGCTCATTCAAAAACATACTGAACCTTGCTGTAAGATAAGGAAAAACAGGTACAGTAGCAAGTTTTAATGCATTTAAATGCCACATCTTCATATCTACATGCACGGGAACAGCTAAAGGATATAGGTATGTAAGCATCTCATATTCACTGAGGGAAGTGATATACCTGTTATTACTTGTAATGATGTTGGTCTCTGTCTAATTGCCGCTTGCTGCTTATCCGAGTTCTCCACATCTGCAGCACCATAGGCATCAAATGGAGAAGAATGTACAATCCCATTCTTTGTGTTTATTCTACTTGGAGATGTTGACAGATTTTTTGGAGCCTGGATCTCAATTTTTTGCACGTGTTCTTGCAAGGCTTGAACAGCCTCTGCTGCATGAAGACCATGCAAGTCCAATTTCCATGGATTATTATCACTATTTCTTATGCTTAAAATTTCTTTGGCTGCCTTAGCATTGAGTTCTTCAGCAGCCGACCATTCCTCCCTTGCTTTCAAAGAATACTGCTGAGCAGAAAAATGATCCCTTCTTAAAAAGGCATTAGTGGCAGCCCTGGAATGCTGAGATGCCAACCTGTTCAATGAAGAATTGATAATTCTCAATATCGAAGGTGACCATTAAAAAAAATATCTATTATAGGCAATTCCAAACCATGAATTGAGAAATACTATTTTCTAAAACATTAGAAAGATCAAGAAAATGCCAACAGATGCAGGAATGTGTTTCACATATTAGTATAACTCAATATAACAAGAGTCTGGGTAGCTTCAAAACAAAATGCCCATTATACCTTCAAAATCAGAAACTCTATCTCTATAATCGCAAGATTTTGACACAGTTTACAGTATAGCCATAGAAGTAGAACCCTATCTCCCTACCACTTTTCCCACGTCACTTTTGACAACAAGGCATCCACTTTTGATTTTTTTTTAAAAAAAGAGCTTTCAGATGTGGCATGCATAGTTTTTTTCAGTGGATCAAAAAGTTCAACAGATCATCATAACAAAAGCAACTCCTTCCAAACCAAAGCACTTCAAGATGAATGCATTACTTATATAAATTTTAAATCATAAACATGGGAACAATAACCTGGTAATATCGATATGAGTACTTAAACAATGAAAAGAATACAGTGATGTTATCACAACACATCGTCCACAAAACATAAAGCAAAGCTACATAGCGACATAGGTTCTAGCTCAGTTGCATTCAATTTACGGGCTATATTAACTACACTGTTTGATACCCTACAGCCTATGCATTACCAAACAAGGCAATTCAGTGCAACCATTTCAAAAATGTGTATCACATTACTTCGCACAGTTTTCATAATCCACCTTACATCATCCTACTTAGGAAAACAGAGAGTGATAACAGACACGTACCTCATCATCCTCAAAGCATTCTTTCGATGATTCAAGTAAACATCATCTTCTTCCCACTCAGGCTCAATAGGTACAGACTTCAAGTGTCCCAAAATCAGTTTCATGTTTGCAGCAGCAGCAGTAACATCAACAGCAGGAGAAGCAACCACATCCTCTCTCAATTCTATGCTATTCTTATCATTTTTATGATCATTATCTTTGAGAGCATCCTCAAGAGTAGAGCTCAAATCAGCAATATCATCGGCAAGACTCGTATTAAAACTGGACTTAAATTTTGCTCCCTCATCCTTCTCAAAGTCAGCATTAGAAACCATTCCATTCAACAAAGCAGAAGCCTTTTCGACATCATTATCCACACCGGCCATGACATCCTCAATCAAGCTAAAATCAGCCCACTCATGAAGCTCTTTGAGCTTCTTCAAACCCAATAAAACATTACCACTATTCTTCTCCTCAATAACCTTATTGGAATCACTATACCCAGCAGAAAAATCAGTAACTGGGGTGGTCAAATTATTATCATGATGCGTCTTCAAAGCAGGAAAACCAGCAGCCGTAGAAGAAGAAGGCAAAAGTACAGAAGAGAAAGACTTCGAACAGAAAACGCCACTATTGTCATGATTCCTCTTCAACCCAGTAAATGGTAAGTCTCCAATAGCTGGAAATGGATCCTTACCAGCAACTTCACCATCTTGCTGCCTCTTTTTCAAGTCAAAGGCAGCCCACCCAGGGGACTTGACTCTCCTAGATTTATTGCTATTGTTATTCATAAAATAAGTAGAAGAGCTTGCATATGTAATCAAGAATCAACAAGTTTCGAACCTAAACACCCAAAAGAGAAGGAAATTTGCCAATTAAATATGAAGGAAAGAAGCAAAATCGATTATCCAGGAAGATGCTTAAAGAGGGACCAAGGTGTCAAGCGATCAAAGGGGATAAACAATGGTGAAGAAATTGAAAAAGACTCAAACTTTATTGCTCTAACAATCAAATTCAAACAAACCCTTGTGCTGCTGCTTGTGAGAATCATAATATCCATAAATCTGGGTCTTCTTCTTGTTGGTTTTCGGAGACGGAAAGGAGTTGGTTTTTTTCTTATGGGAAGAAAAGAAGAAGGAAAGAGAGGCCGCTCAAATAATAACAACTTATTTGGGTGACTAAGGACGACACGACACGTAGGCAGACAAAAACCTTAGGAAAGGTCAAACCTATGCCTTGTCGGCGGGCCTCCTCCCTGGTCCTAATTTTTATTTTCCTTTTTCGTTTGTTTCAATATAATAGTTGATATATATATATATATATATATATTACCAATTTTTCTTTATTCGATTAAATTTATCTATATTTATTGAGATTTGGATTGTAGACCGATTATCAGTATCCAAATTTTAAGAATCTCTTCTTGACTTTTTAACAATAATAAATAAAAAAAATTAAACATGACTGATAATAAAATATTTTTTGTCAACACTCAACACCTTTAAATCCAACAACAAAATAATATTACAAGTTTACAATCATTAGTAAGTACCAAATTTATTATTATTGTTATTATTTTATCGAAGCAATTTCAAATTTTTTTAAAGAAATAATATTTTTTAATATAAATAATTTATTTTGAAAACCTTAATTCGGAAGACTAAGGTCTTAAACTCGTGGCCCAATTTTTTTTTAAAATGATTAAATTCTAAGTTAATTTCCTTTAGTTTCAAAGTCAATTAATTAGTTTCTCTTATTTCAAAAAAAAAAATTTAATTCTTATATTTTTAAATTTTTTAACTTAATTTTTTTTTCAATTTATTTTGATTTTTGAAAATAAAAAATAAGTAAAAAGTGAAATAATTGATAAAAAAAATATTTTTAAATAAAATAATATTAAATTAAACGTGATCAACATAATTGAATAATTAATTTTTAAAACAAAATAAATTTATTTATTTATTTTTCAAAAATGAATGGATCAATTTATAATTTACTCTTTAAAAATAAATATGCCTTTGAGTATTCTTGACGTATGCATATAGATCCTTCCTACTTTTAAAAAGAAAAGGACTTTAATTCTCAAAGCTAATGGAATCCTCTTCTAACCATGATTTATAAATCCTTGATTAACTAAAAAAATTATTAAAAAAAGTTTGGATATATATATATATATATATTAGAGAAGTGTATATGTATCAAATTTTTTTCTCCGAAAACATTTTTATGTTTTTCTACAAATGCATTTTTTTTTCATATGATTTTGTGATGGATGGAATTTTTTTTTAAAAAAAAATTCAATGATGCTTAATTGAAATGCGAGGATTAGGGTATAAAAACACGAAAAAATGAGTGACTTGTTGTACTTTTAAGGAACAAACGAATTATCAGTTGTTGTTGTCTGCGTCAGTATCTAGTCTTCCTAGCAGTAAATGTAGTGCTCGGTTAAATGAAATTATTCAAATACCCCTGGTTGTTTCAAGAGCTCATGTAAATTTCGAAGGATATTTACTGTACATAAAGAAAATCTCAGGTGTTTTCTTTCAGTGACGTAAGGAAATAAACTTCGGACTTCTTTGAGTGACGTGCGGAAAAAAATTTATAATTTACTCTTTAAAATAAATATGGTTTTGAGTATTCTTGACAGACTTCAGACTTCGGCTCTATATCTCAAAGCCAATATGGAATCCTCTTCTAACTAGGATTTATAAATCCTTGATAAACTCAAAAATTTTATGGGAAGAGTGTCGTCCAGAAATATTAAAAAGCTTGGATACATATGTGCGTGTATACAGAAGGGTTTTATTTTTAATTATTCGATTTAGAAATCACAGACTACGTACAAGGTTCAAATTCAAAATATGGAAGGAGATCAATCAAGAATGCTTTCTGGGGATGAGATTGATGAGGCTTTGAGTAGATTATCTGCCTCCAGAATGTCGTACTTAGAGGAGATTTTGCGTTTGAATATAAGGAGTTTGATGAGAATGTCATCGATGGAGGAAACTGAAAGGGAGGATACAGAAACTCTAAGGGAAAGTATTGAAAATATAAGGAAGAGTACAAAGGCATTTAAAGAAGCAACGGCGGCCATATTAAGGAAGAAGGTGACAATTGATGGTGACCACCATGATGAATCCTTATGCTCTATATGCATAGAAGACATGGCAATTGGAACTGTGGTTGTTCAGTTGTCTTGCTCTCATAAATTCCATAAGAATTGCATTGCCGAGTGGCTCAAAAGGAAGTTGACATGCCCCTTCTGCCGTTTCGAGTTGTCAATCAAATAGATTTTCTTATCTTTTTTTTTTTTTTTTTTTTTGCTCTTGTAAGTTTCTTTAAGTAGTTTGAAGAAATCGATAAAACACCAATGTGTTTTTGTGATTGATTATTCAATCAAAGACTACTTTTCCTTAACTCTGCTTGTCATGAAACAATCTATGGGGTAGATTTTTTGAAATTTTTTGTTTTTTGTTTTCGATTTTTTTATATAAATTCTTTAAATGCCTTGAGTAATAAAAAACGGGGAAAAGAAAATAGAATCAACAATCAAAGGATTAAACAAATTGATTCTGTACGAAAATCCAATTACCATTTAAATTGACAAAAACCGTAATTAAGCAATTACTTATAATATAACTTCATAGTTAGAGATAGTTTAGACTTTTCAGAGTTTAGTTTAGGCTACGTACTCTACATATACGATCATTTATTTAATTTATATTAATTTTCGATCAAATATATTTAGAGAATTGTTTGAAATTTTTTATTAGTATATTCGCTTATAAATCAAAATTTGACCTACAACAATAAATTAAGAAAAAGATGATGAATTTATTTTAAATTTTAGGATTTTCAAAAAGAAACAATACTTGAATTAAAAAAAAATCAAATTTTTGGAGATCTCTTTAATATTTTGAAAATCAATTTTTTCCAGAGGAATAATTAGAAGAGAACAGTAGTATTATATCCATTTTACCAAATGCCAATTAATTGTTTTTAACATTTTCAGTAGAATTCAAAATATGTATATATACCTAAACTAGGGTTTTCTAAAGGGTTTCTTAGGCTTTTGTGTAACCCCCGTAAAAACCCTTATTCCTTAACGCGACGTGTATTAGTATAATTCTATATATATGTATATTAAGAGTAAGTATAATTATCATTTTATCATGAGAAATTAATGCTTGAAATATGTGATTTATGTTAAATTAAAGTTATTGTGCTTAAGATTAATGGTTTAATTATTAAAGAAATCAAATATGCAAAATCGGTGTTTTAAGGACTATATTCTGCCCGAGTTTTGTATGAATTATTTGAGTACTTTAGAGTAATTTTTGGGTCAACCTTAAAGAATGAAAGTTGTTCATCTATGTGTTTAATAGGCCTGTATAAACTTTTATAATATTTGGACCTATACATTAAGAGTTATACCAATTATAGTGAGAGTTGTTTCGAAATGCATTCTGCTGAAATTTTGGGAGAAGAATCGCCTGAATCTTGTGAAATTTATTTGATGCTGTTAGATTGATTTTTGAAAAAATATAAAGAATAAAAGTTATTTTTCTATGTGTGTACTAGCTCTCTATAAAATTTCATAAATTTTGGATACATATAGAAAGAGTTATGCACATTTTAATATAGATAGGTTAGGAGGTAACACTGCTGAAATTTTGGAGAAAAAGAAATTTCGAATTTTAAAAATGGAAATTTTCGAATTTTTTATGAAAGAAATTTTTTCTAATTAAATTAAACCAGCTTATTAATGTTTTTATTTATCCTAAGTTTTCTTTAGCCACCTAAGCACTTGAATTAAATGCTTAAAAGCCAAATCATCACCTTTGACTTTCAAAACATGTCAGCTTTGCCTTCCAAGCTTCCTCCACTTTACATTTGGCCTAGTTAAATTTTAACACTTATGATATAAATAAATGAGAGGATAAAAGGTGAGTATATAAGGGAAAGAGAGAGTTAAATGGCTGCCATTTTTAGGCCAAAAACCGTAGCTATCCAAAATTAAAAGAGAAGCCATATTGAAGAGAGAAAAACAAGCAAAAATAGAGAAAGAAAGAAAAGAGAAAGAGAAAGGGAAAAAGGAAAGAAAAAGAGCTAAGGAAATTCTAATCAAACCTAAAAGAGGTAAGTAGGTTTCATTTCTTGGCTGATTAATGTCTTAAATTATTTTTTTTAAGTTATGTTGTTAGTGTTTATTTCATGGGTTGTAACAATCTTCAATGGTTATATGCTTGATGCTTGGGATAAATCTATGTATGGATGCCTTGTTATGATGATTTATGATGTTATGATTTTTTGAAAAATGTCCAAGTATGTGGTGATGGGTTGGATTGAACTTGGACTAAATTTAAGTAAACTAAAACATGTTTAAAGTTGGCTTGGAATGAACTAATAAATTAGTGTTGATAAGGAGTAAATTCTGTCCGAATTTTGGGGTGTATTTTCAAGGATTTTAGATCGATTTCTAAGTGAAACTTAAAGCATAAAAGTTGTTCCTCTATGTTTCAAATAACTGCCTTTAAAATATCTTGGTCATTGGATTCGTGTACAAAGAGTTATACCCGATTTAGTACAAATAGCTCTAGACAAATTACTACTAGGCAGATTGCTCCCTAAGTTTCAAAATTTGTAATTAATTGTGTACTTGGTATTTAGACCTAATTTTTGGATATGTTATAAATAAATATGTCTAGTATCTAAAATAAAATGGGTAAGATTTAATTATGTTCTGAAATTGAAAAATTATTTACTCAATTAGGAGTTGCCCGAGTAATAAACCCTAAAACTAAAAAAATTAGACTTGGACAAAATTAATAGGTTTGGAATAAACTAAATGATCTTGGACTAAATAAAATGGAATTAAATAAAGTCAATGGACTTAGGATTAAGTTAATAAACTTGGATAAAGTTAATGGGCCCAGAATAAGAAAAAAAAATGGACTTGGACTAAAATAAGTGGACTTGGATAGAAATAAAAGGGATTTAAAAATTCTAAAGAAAATTTATTCTTTTAGAGAGGAAATAAGAAAAATATTTGGACCTTCTTTTAAATATTAATGAAACTAATGAACAATATTAATAAGCAGAGGTTGTGTTCCCGTTTATGAGTACCATGATTGGTATGTGAGCGACGGGTGAATCCCGAGTATTGGTTGAACCGTGAGTATGGCTTGAGAAAAAAAGGTTGGTACCCGAGTTTAGTTGAATGTGATTAAACATGTCATCACGTGCATCACGTGCATTGGGGTTAGAATAAGTTGAGAAAAATCATCGAGTCATGAAATGATACGATTTGGTAACCGAATTAAAAATAAATGGGTATTAGTAGTCCAAGTACTCTAGGTCGTGTGCTCGCACTATTAGACGATGGATTCTCGCTAATAGTAGTTACAACGAAGGGTAATTCCGTTGTAGCAGAAGATGATCCGAGGATCATCTGGATGAAATCAAGTCGTGTGCTTGCACTCGTTAGACGATGGATTCTCGCTAACGGTAGTTACAACGAGGGATAATTCCGTTGTAGCAGAAGGTGATCTGCGGACCACCCGGATGATAAATAGAGTAGACTAGCTAATACCCGTGGTACCCGAGATTAAAATTTATGAGTATGGTGAAAAGTCAAAACGAGTATTGCATATCACGTGCATCACCCTACTTACCGAGCTTCGGCTCACTTCGTTGTTATTTTTTGTATGTCATGACGTAAAAAGGACAAGTTGGTACGGATGCGACTGGCTCCTCCTAACCGGCTCATGTGAGGCACCATATATTAGTTTTTATTTTATCCGTAAATTTGAGATATAGAGTTTGTGAGAAATTGAATATTGCTCGTAATGTTTTACTAATATATTTAATTATGTGATGTAAATTTTATCTTAAGGAGTTATATACGTAATGTGCTCGTTAAAGTTTTAAGAATATCATAAGAGAACTACTTAGAGTTTAGGGTATGTCGGCGTAACGCGTTTTGTCTAGTACTCTACTTGGGTAGTAGAAATATGACTGGGACGGGGCGTTACATTTTGTTGAAAAGGTTTTTTGTAGAAGGGTTTTATTTCTTTGGGCTTTCCTTTGTAGTGACGATAAGGCTTTCTATAGGGTTTTCTATAGGCTTTAGCATCACGGTTGTTTTTACATCCCGAGGGTTTTGAAGTGGAAATATTGAATTGTTTACGAAACTACCTAATTCTTGTCCGGTTTTCTTCATCTCCCACTTAAGGTGTCTTTGAAGTTTTAGATCTTGATAAATTTTGAGTCCTTCCTTTTAGGTGAGACTAATAAGTTCACCATAGGCTACTTGGTCATAAGGAAGGCTGGTTACCAAAGGCATCCTTGATCCCGGTTCTAACCTTTTCGCCTCGGAGGATCGGAAGACTCGCAAGGAATTTCTCTTTCCGAAAGGTTGGTTAGAGTCTTCTCTAAGCATGACTGCGGTAAGGAAAATGGTTTTGTAACATTGGAAATCACTGAGTTTTTTACACCTAAAGTTACTCGGGAGTTCGAGCATTTTTATCTTTTAGGTGTGAAGGGTCTCCTATGAAATGAAGGAAAATAGTCGGGAAGAGGGTTGACGCGGTATCTTGAATTGATTCACCTAAATAATCTAAGATAGGGAGTCCTTCTTGATCGGTTTGTATGTAATTTAGGATTTCTTGGTGTTGTTGGGCGGTGAGATGGTAATCCCACCATCCTTTTAACTAGCTCGAAAAATCGACAATAAGGAGTTCTACTATGGCACGATCTAGGGTACCGGTTTGGGTTTTGTAGGGGTTAGCCGCCATGGTCATCTGTTGGAGTAAGCTTAGAATATTATACTCCGAGAGTCCATCGATATTCCATTCGTAAATGAAAGATGCATTGAACCTAGGCTGAGCTAATTTGTTTGGCATTTCTTCTATATCGGGGGTAGTGATCATATGTAAAGGGTTTTGCCAATAGAGTTTATTAGTTTTAGGGATAGATTCTATCTCCGAGTTTTGGTCTAACACATTGACACTACGGGATTGAGGTGTCTCGAGTGCTACTTGTTTAGAGTTTGACATGAAGTCGGGTTTACGGCAAATCCAAATCCATCCTAAGGATAGATATAAAAGCTGCTTTCATCTGTCTCGTTTGGACGAGTATGAATGAAATGTTATGCCTTTTGGTCTAAAAAATGCACCATCTGAATTTCAAAGAATTATGAATGATATATTCCATCTATATTCACAATTTCGCATTGTTTACATAGATGATGTTTTAATATTTTTAAATTCCATTGATCAGCATTTCAAGC